ACACTCTAATATATGCATTGTCCTTGAAACTGATTGGTCCACACCAGAGACAGCTTTCTTTTGAGCCTCGTCTCCAACGGTGTTAGACCAGAGGACGCCAAAGGGCGTACGTACCCCTGGTCTAACACCGAGTATGTTTTTTGCTTGCATTCTCACCACAAGTATTGTGGTGGAGGTGTGTGCCCAGCGACTTGTTGCTGTTCTGAAACGGTTGATGTAGCACTGTAGCTTCCTTGGCAGATCAACGCCGTGCATAGCAATCGTGGGGTTGTCGATGAGGCTTTTATTTGGAATGTCCACAGAACTCCACAGTGTTCGCCAGCGGTCTTCAATTGACCCCGCTTCATCCAATTGTCTCGCGCGATCCCACATTGGTTTCCGGGAATTTAAACAAGTTCGTCTTTTGTTGCCAGATAAAAGGATAAAAACGTAGTCTCATATTTTGGTACTGGCAAAGGAGGTCCCATGACGTAGATGCTCACCCCGCGCTCTCATTACTCTGATAGTGGCATTGTCTTTGTGCTGTGTACGCCTTTTGGCGTCCTCTGGTCTAACACCGTTTGAGACTAGGCTCAAAAGAAAGCCGTCTCTGGTGTGGGCCAATCAGTTTCAAAGACAATGCATCATATTATCAGAGTATGTTTTTGTTCGCATTTTGACCACAAGTATCGTGGTTAATGCAGACATGATTCCTTGTAAAAGGTTTCAGTTTGGTATTTTAACATCTTAACACCCGTTTTGTTGCCAGAAAAAAAGTGGAAAACCCTATTATCATATTTTGGTACTGGCAAAGGAGGTCCCATGATGTAGTTACCATCAATAGTTCGAGAAAATGTTCGTAATCAACAGGCAGCCGTGGGACAGGGAGACAACTGTCGAGCGGTTTTGTTCTTGTGATTACTCATCAGTACGGTAGTCACCGATGCTTACTGCTGCCAAGTCTGCCTCTTCTTTTGTGATGGGTTTTCTCATCATTTACAGCTTTGAAATTGAAACCTCTGCATTTTAGTCATAGCTTAGCCTAGTCCATAATAACACGTCGAACTTGAATGACGTCTTAGACTGTCTTTTTTAAAAATGATACTTCACCACCACACTTGTCAGCGTGTGTTGATGAAGGGAGAGGGATATCGATTCCAGGACTGGTTCAAATATCACTCAAGCTAGCTGTGTGCTGTGTATCCAGCTCACGTGGCTTAGCTCATAGTGCAGTGCGCTGACCACTGTGCCACCACTCCACCCGATAAAGCCACATTTCAACGAATAATCTGACTCAAGATTCATCGTCTTTGGTTCTTTCGGTAAAGTCACGTAGAATGAGAATAAAATAAGCGGCCGCTTGTGTTGTGGCCGAAACGTCGTGAGAATTTTATTGTGTTATTGTATTATTTTATTCTCATTCTACGTGACTTTACCGAAAGAACCAAAGAAGATGAATCCTTGCAGTCACGAAAGCTTCAAATCGAAATTTGACTCAAGATTGTTTGTAATGTATCGGACCAAGTAAAAGCCAGATACGGCAAGTTCGTCAGTTTACAGATGAATGAAAAGAAGAATGACCAGATAATGTGTATTCTGCGGTAATACGAAAAGCATTTGCAAACAATCACATTGGCAACACCATGTATTGACGTTCACATGTATTTATAACTTTCTTCCAAATATCCTCGCTATGGTGCGCGTGCTATACGCAGGGGTGATACATTCAGAGATATGCCACTGATTTCTAATGACCCTTTTAACTTCTCAACAGCTGACCGAATATCGTGAAATGCTCCATATCTTACAGAGGAGAGCGTTCAAATGAGTTTATTCACATTCTGTTTGGTTTCTTCCAGTAAAGTCACGTAGGTAGAAAAATAAATGATCTATTATTATTCTACCTACGTGACTTTACCGAAAGAACCAAAGAGTATGGATTCCTACAGTCACGAAAGCTTCAAATCACATTGGTTAAGGGTACATGCAGAGGAGGCTTGGGAATGAAACGTTGTTTCCTCAAAGTTTCTCCGTTTCATTTTGTATATACACACACACCACACACGAAATCAGCGGATACATGCTAAAAGCAAAATGGGTTAAACGAAACGCCTATTGCCTCGCCATGAAGCCAGTCCAAACACACGCGGGCTGTCTCTAACAGCAACAAAAGTAACACAAGAAGAAGCCTTAAAATACTCACATGGTTATGACCTTCAAGCGCACGGACGGAGACTTAGTTATGGAGATTTGTCTTACCAAATTCCGAGGCAACCTTTCTCAGTTCTTTAAATGGTTCACTCCGGGTTCTTTCGCCGGACGGTTCAATTGAGTGCGCATCGCCGCGATTTCTTTACGCACAGAGAGGGGGGTGGATGACGTTCGGAAGAGAGGCGTTCCGTGAGTTTTATTATTTTTAGTGGGTTACTACTTAAATAACACATGGGCGAGGCTACCATCTCTCGGACGAAATGTATCATTGCAATTGCATGAGTGTGCATAATACAGGTTTCGTTTGAGGTTAGATCGCGTAAAAATATAGAAATGTGTCGTTAAATCCGCCACCACCCGACACAGCCTATGAGCAAGGTGTGTTATGTAAACAGAACGTGCCAATTCGTTACTCGTACAGCACACCGGTGTGTTGGAGAGTAAATCCACAAAATTTACAATACTTACTAATTGACTGTGTCCGGTACATGGTGGTGGTGGGTTTAACGACAAATGTATATATTTACGCGATCTAACGCCCCCCAAAAACCCCTGTATTATAGATGATATTGGTCGCGAAAGCCTACGTGTTAAACTACGTAAGTGTTGTGGGAATAATTCCAGTTTGCCAAATGCACGCCCCCATCATCAACTTGCACTGGAGTGGACCGGCGGTGGTGAAGTATGGTCAAATACCCTCCCCGCCAGACCCACCCACCCATGGCGTGTGGTGGCCCTCGTCCAGGCGACCGTGTGTGTAGAACACAGTTTGCGGCAGTGTACCACGATCCCAAAATTGTTTCGATTTAAAGCTTTCGTGACTGCAGGGATTCATCTTCTTGGTTCTTTCGGTAAAGTCACGTAGAATGGAAACAAAGTAATAAAAATAAAACATAACTACTTGTGTTGTGGCCGAAACGTCGTGAGAATTTTATTTTATTATGTTTTATTTTTATTACTTTGTTTCCATTCTACGTGACTTTACCGAAAGAACCAAGAAGATGGATCTCATAATTGTTCACGTGAAATTTTACAGGCGAAGACCGCCCCCAACACGGAATCAGACTAAAACACACAAAGAAACACACGTTGGATTCAGAGCCGGATTATCCTCGTAGCAAAAGTAGCTACATATTCTAAGGGCTCCGCACTTTCAAGGGCCCCCGTGCTAAATGCTTTCAAGCTATCAATTCCGGTTCAGTGATTCTGCACTTGCTCTATTACTATAGTACTATACTGCCTTCAACTTTTATGAACGACTGGGTGTTTAAGGTTAGCGACTTGTCGTATTATCTGGCTGTATAGCAAATGAAAAAATACGATTACTTTACTATGCAAGTAAAACATTTGTGTTTTAATATTTATGGAGTTTTTTTTTAATTTAAGGCCCCTTTATAACATATGCTACAGGCTTTGCACGAGCTTTATCCGGCACTGGTGGGATTACAAAAAAGTAAATGAGGTTGCTCCCGAGATTAACCTTTCAGTTTACAAACCTATTGCCAACTCTCAAAACAGTCTACATGATTTCCTGCTCAAATGAGCATTGGATTGGTGCTCATCTCCCATTTACTGCCCTGAAGCAGTGGTGGAAATTCCACATTTATATGACCAGGGCAAGTATATCCATAGCACAAACACTGTTGACCCCCCTCCCCAAAAAATGTACTTATTTTATTGACCCCAGCGAGGGGAACGATGGGGCTGAGTCAAACTCCAACCAGGATTTGAATCCGGAACCTTCCGAATGTGAGCAACTCGCTCTACCGCTGAAGCGGCAGATCTCAACTCATTAAAAAACAAAAGTAGCAATGGAAAGAGGGTCTGCATATTTCTAGAAACCCCATAGCATGGTGAAAATGTTCTATTTTGTTCGCTTGATGTAGATCACACATAACTCATCATCGATACAACACGTCCCTGCCTGGTTCATTCCAGGCCAGAATGGAACATTATTTGACTCCGCGTGAACATTCATTAAAGTGCCGCGACTGACAGTGCATGATGCACCCTGTAATTTTCCACTACTGCGCGTTTCAGCTCATTTAATTTGATAATCGATGGTGACCTCGTAACACAAAGACTTGAACGTCACAAATTTGGCATATACATTCAAAGTCAGGTACAACACATTCCAATATCTATCACTGGCATAAATATGCATTTAAAGAAACAATACATCTTGCTAATATATTATCTTAATAATTTATATAAAAATATGGAATATATAGAACTAGTCAAATTTGAGATTGCTAAAATTACTGCAGTAATACAGACTATCACAATCAATGTGAACCATCAAATTGACATTTAATTGGTTGTGGGCAAAGGAATCAGATCACTCACATTTGCGGTTAATAATAATGTATTTGTTTATCCCACTATCATGAAATCTCAAGACTCATTTAAAGGAGGGTTCTGCTAGGGGATGATAGCCAAAATTCCTCGTTTTCGTATTTGGAGAATGGGAAAATTAAATACACTGACTGCTTTTGCAGCAGTGCACAAGCACAAAAGGAAAAAAAAGTGCTTGTTACTTTACCTTTGTTATTAACACAGCCAAGGCCGTAGCCATGGAGTCAACATTGGGGGGACCAAATCTTTCAGGGGGTCTGGGAGTTCCCTCCCAGAGAAAAATAATCTAAATTTGAAAACGAATTTCCTGCCTAAAATGTTACAAAATTCACTAGCATATAGGATGGACTAATAGTGTATTGTATTACATTGCTCTGTTTTTACTTTTTTATGTTTTCTTGTTTCATTGTATGTAATGGCAGAGATTAGGGAATAATAAAGTACAACCATAACCACAATCATATGAACAGAAATCTATTTTATAGCAATATATTGGGGGGGGGACATTTTGGACCCCCCATTATGTGTCCCCCCCCCCAATATATATTATAAATACGGCCTTGAACACAGCATTCTACCAGAAAAGTACATCGCAAGCTAACATGTCATTGGCGGAATGATAGCTTATATGGCATAGAGCTGGGACAGTTTAATCAGATAAAAAAATAGTTGAATACTATTTTGTCATCGATTACTTGGGCACTTTTAAAAATACTGGTCACTCTCCACATCCTGCTTGTGAAAGCAGGAAACCCCCTGGAAGCCACGCCAATTAGTTAAGTAATTTAACCAATAATCAGTAGAGTAAATAATGTGATAGTCCAGCTCTACTCTAGCATATTTCCTTCATAAGGCAGTGTTGATGAGGAATGTGGTGCATTTTTAAATATTGCTTATGCTACCCATGGCTACAATTCAATTTCGCCTGGGGAGGTATTACAGGGACTCACTTTGCCTCTTCAGTATAATTTGTAAATTAAATGCTGCCTATTGCCAAAACACAGTGCATACTGAATTGAGAACATCTATGCTCAAACATAGTACACATCACACGGTCTTCAGATATACAACACATTGAAAGAAGACCACATTCGAGGTCCGAACAAAATGCACATCAAGATTTTGAACGTTCAATAAATGTGTTGACGAGCGCTTAGAACGTGACTTCATTTTCATAGCATGCTCCTCCAATTTCTTGGCGCTTGCTGACTTGAACTCTGGACATTTGGTGCCATCGCTGCCCAACGAAGGAAACGAGAGAAGATTAAAGGCGGTCAACGTTGAAATACAGGGGAAGAAGTGGCGACGCAGTGGTCAATGCGGTGTGCTCTGAATCTGAAAAATCGAGTTCGATTCCTGCACCCATAGCTAACATTAATTGTGAGTGATACATGAACATGTCTGGTCCTTGCCACCCACAATCCCCAACCTGCATTGACCAGCGTGATGAGGGATGGACAAGCCACCCCAATGATTTATATGATGGGGGGGGGGGGGGGGGGGCCTTCAAACAGCAATGGCTTGACAATGCACTGTATATTGTTATTAAAATAATTGCTTATTAATAAGTAAATTTAATACATATCGCTTAACATATACGCCTGTATGGCTCACGTAAAGCCACATGTGTGAAACATTTGACAATCTGCGCACACGTGAAATGTGGCACTTTGCAAACCTGGAAGGAAACAGAAGGCGCATTTTCTACCCGTTGTCGGTATTCGGTGATAAGTGACCACGTATGGCAGGGTTTTAGTAACACCATGCATCACAACTGACTAAATGCCACCTTTCAATACCCACCAAACATCTCCACTCAAACAAAAAAAATAGAGTTTCTAAATGGTGCACGTCCATGATGATTGTAAACGCCGATCATTATGCATGTACGTTGAACTCCTTTCGCACTGTGAGCAGCCAACCGTGCAAATCTCTTAATTTGAATCGGCACTCATTGCGTCAGGTGGGAGACACCACGCGTGCCCACACACTTGTACAACATAGACAAACGTCTGTATCGCAACGTGAGTCAAGCGTTCTCCCCGCATCATGCTGGGTGTGTTCATCGCGATCCGCATGCGGCATGTAACGACTTCAATATTGTTCAGCAATTAATATGGCTTAATAGCTCTTGACTGCGACCAGCTACAGCGGTGTACTGCGGTGTGGACATTCCCTTAGTACCTGTCGCAGAGTTCCCTTGCTGACCAAGAAGAGGTAGACCATGTATCCAGGGATGAGGAGCATGGACGACAACGCCATGAACCAACCCATGCCCTGACCCCACATCGGGTACGTGTAGCTGCCCAGCGTCAGCGGAGTCATCTCCACGACGCTGAACATGAATACGCCCTGCAGTGGCACCCGGCAGACGGCGTGGTCAAGACAGCGGTGGAGAATCAAATTCAATTACTCAACGGTTCAGCTCGCGAGCGGCGGCCGCGTTTGTTGCGCGCAGAGCGAAACGCGCGGTGACCCCGCGGTGACCCCGCGGTGACCCCGCTTCTCGCTTCGGCTTCCGACCACTTCATGACCACAAATTAATGGGTTTGTCCGTCGAGAGGCTCTCTCTCAAACCTGCCCGGGCATAATTAATAGTCCGAGGTAAAAAGAAAAGGGTGCAGCCCTGCAATGTCGTGCCTACATCACTCCTGGCAGAAGGTCCGTCCGCTACAGAGGCTCCAGATAGTCCCTCTAAAGAATATTTGGCATGCTGTTCCATTCTGGTCAGACGTCTCGGAAGACGGTGGGAGTACCCACGTTTTACTCCACCACAGGCGACGACCTGCCGATTGACTGACTCGTGTACCCATTTATGCTACTGGGTGGACAGGGGCGAGAGGATTTTAAAACACTTGCCGCATTGTTCAACTGGCACACTTGGGTGGAATGGGGAGGGATTGAACTGGTGACCTCTGGATTACAAATCCAATGTGCTCAACATTACACCCTAGCAGCATTCTCCCAAGTTATGGCATTTTTCCATTTTAGTATCAGAATCGATATATTATGAGGTGTCTCGTTTTAATACATGTCTTTGCAGTGCATTACTGTGTAATAAACATAAGTTTAGCACGTAGGCTCGAATTGTAAATGTTGTGGGTTTACCCTCCAACACACCGGTGTGCTGTACGAGTAACGGATTGGCACGTTCTGTTTGCGTGACAAATCTTACTAATTGGCCTTGTCAGGTGGTGGCGGGTTTAACACTACATTCATATTTATGTGATCTAACCCCCCCCAAAAAAATACATATTATTTTTTATAAAACTATTTATTACACAGTATTTTATTTGTCCAATAAGTTACTGACAATTTCTCTATTCCCGAGGGCGGTTTGGAATTGATTTTATACCAATGAACCCAAAACAATGGTTCTTGCTCGAAAACAGCTCGGCTCACCACGTTCATTGATCAACCACCAAATGCGCCACTTAGGAGGGAGAGGCCGCATTGTCATTCCCTGCAAGAAAAACAAAGTGTTTCTTGGAGAGACTCTTTGTTTACAAAGGTCAAACCCTTTAAAATTCCCCACCACCACCACCACCTGCACTTGCAGACAGGGCAAATGGGGACCCACAAGATGCCATTTGTAAAGGGGCCAGTGTTTGTTTCTTCATAAACAGAAACATTTCTGTCAGTGTTCCGCCCCGAAGGAATGTGCAGAGTAAACACCGTGACAAGGTTTACGGCTCAGACTTGTGGAACACCCAAGCTGTGGGGCGCTGGGTGTTGGTGGCTTTCTCTATTGTGCTTTATATACGGATGCCAACATTCTTCCTGATGTTAAGATGCAATGGAGGAAGACACGGGTATTGTACACAACGACTAGATCAAGTTCGATGTAAACAAAGTGTTTGGAAGGGACAGAATGTTGCTGCTATTTTGCAATGTGAGTGATATAATATGATTTGAAGCTTTCGTGACTGCAGGAAGCCATACACTTTGGTTCTTTCGGTAAAGTCACGTGGGTATAATAATCATCATCATTATCAGCCGTAATCAATCCAATGTGGGATGAAGATCTCCTCCACATTCTATCGCTATCTCTCACGCTTCTGCCAAATAACAATTCGCATAGCTTCTACACATGAGCTGATTCCATTGCTCCATCTCCTCTGTAGTGGTGCTCTTGGAATGCGTTCCTTTCCTTGGCCGCCACTCTGTCGCTGTTGTTGATCACTGCCCATCATTTGTTTTAGCGGTGTGACCTGCCCAAGCCCACTTAACTCTCTCCTAAACGTTTTCAACGAAGTCTCTAGCCTGCCTACGTTCTCTAATTTGTCTTTCAATCTAATTCCCATCGTGAATAAAACAAGAACGTAAAGATTAGACAACAGGATTGCTGCACCACAACGGAACAAAATGATGCACAATCCGGAGTTTTCCAGCAGTATTCGCTGAATCGACTTTCTAAGTCTCACGGTATGTTAATACATTCTGTTTCGTCGCCAGATGTTATGACCAACGGCTCTCCGAGTCGTGTTTATTTGACCCTTGTCCATTTTTAATGTTGCTATTTTATTCCCCACAACCGACCATGACAGTGCATCATGATTCTCGCCGTCGAGCCTTAAGCTCATGGAAAGCTCCTCCCTCGGAAATGAGAAAAAAAGCAAACCGCTTGGCAGCCTTTAAAACTGGACTGCGGCAAACATGTTTACTTGTGAAAATGCATCGGTCAATCTTTTAAGCAGTAACTGTATTTGATTTTGTTTTAAATCCAAGAAGAATTGAGCAACTGTTTAGGTTTTTCCGCGGTTGTGAAGTTCTCGCCCTCCGATGTGTTTTCGGGTCGCACTTCGTGTTCCTCAGCACGGATGTCCGACGTTCCATGTGCTGGACGTTCAGCGCGATGATGTGCGACTAAACGTCAGATATTATTTCAATTGTGAACAACACGTCGGCGAGCCAGCAGAACTTGGCCTTCCCTGATTTGAAGCTTTCGTGACTGCAGGGAATACTCTTTGGTTATTTTGGTAAAGTCACGTAGAAAGATAATAAATTGGCCTTCCCTATTTTACTTGTTGATGTTCAGTATACTGTATATGTTTTATATACCTCTTGCATTCATTACTTGTACTGTATTAATTAACAGGGATTACATATTATTGGTTCTTTCGGTAAAGTCACGTAGAAGGGAAACAATAAAATAATAAAAATATAAAACAATAAAATTCTCACGACGTTTCGACTGCAACACAAGCAATCATCATCAGGTGTGAAAACCACAGCAAGAAAATTTGAAAAAAGTAAAGGCACAAAATATCAAGTGGCCACTTTTTTCAAATTTTCTTGCTGTGGTTTTCACACCTGATGATGATTGCTTGTGTTGCAGTCGAAACGTCGTGATAATTTTATTGTTTTATATTTTTATTATCATATTGTTTCCCTTCTACATGACTTTACCGAAAGAACCAAGAATATGAATCCCTGCAGTCACGAAAGCTTTAAATCAAAATTTAGGGGTTACATATTCAATGTACTGTTTTTATCTGCACACAGATGACTGCTTCATAGCATCTAAAACTTGGTGGGGTTTATGGAGCTCACACATTGAAACCTGCATTATGAATTGTATATTATAAATAATGTTGATGACGATAATATATTTTGAACGATTCTTCTATATTCTTGGTTCTTTCGGTAAAGTCACGTAGAAGGGAAACAATAAAATAATAAACATATAAAATGTGACTTTACCGAAAGAACCAAGAATATGAATCCCTGCAGTCACGAAAGCTTTAAATCAAAATTCTTCTATACTTTGGCACGATGTACATCAAGCCATACAGTTTGGAGTTGTGCGGCAATTAATTGTACAGCACAACATTGCATATCCGATTCTTGGGGACTGTGAAAGCATCAGATAGGTCAGATATCTGAGCATCCAAAGAAAAAAAGACAGTTACAGAAACCGTGCACAGAGAGTTTACTGGACGAAAATATACTCTAGGAGTGAGCACATGTACACGAGATTAAGAATACATTACAGCGTGTGAAAAGGTTAGATTTGTGAAAACGTAGATAATAATGGCTACATCATGTAGGAATACTGCACTGAGTGTGGGCGGTTAATTTGTCAGGGCGGATGTGTGGTGATCAGATATGCAACATCGTGTTGCCGCATGATGTGTAAAATAATGATTTGATGTTGGAAAAAAACACATTCTAAGTTTCTATGCTTCTGTGTGCTTAATGGACAGAAAATGCATTCCATGTTCTGCATTGCAATGAACCCTCATATGCTCACCACGACCACGAGTGGAGTGAAGAAGACCCAGCAAATATTCCACCATTTGTGGACCTTGTGCCCAATCATCTCGCAAATGTTATCATTGAACCTATCGACGCCTGAAAAAAGAGTCACGCATGCTGATGAGATTAAAGCGTTTTCGCCTGTCAATGTTGTGTAACGCTTGAGCAGCAATGTTTATAAACGTAGGTGAAAATGTTTTGTCGTGAGGAGACAAATGTAACGCCATCTTACAAAAAAAATCATTCAACTACGGTACAAGCGTGATGACATATAATACTTTTTCAATATTCAACCTGATATCTTATTTTCTTATAGGCAGTTTATTTTCACGCACATTTTTTTTATTTTAAATTACGGTTGCCTAGCAAAGGCACAAAATATCAAGTGGCCAGCAACAAACAGCACTCTTGAAGGTGTAATAGATGATGATTAATAATGTAGATTTCTTAATTTGAGCGACGTTACAATAATTTGTGAAAACAGAAGAGTGCAGGGAATTCCTGATTTTTGTGCTTAGATGGCTGTCCTTCCCCTGCACCTACAATGAGTAGGGTAGGCTACGATCAACATAATGCATACATGCAATTCCAATGTGAAATTAAACTTATGAACATCCATTAAAACGAGAGCTCTACTGCGTCACAGTGTTCTTCCTCAAAAGCTACTAAACAAAGATCCAAATTTTGATTTAAAGCTTTCGTGACTGCAGGGATTCATATTCTTGGTTCTTTCGGTAAAGTCACGTGGAACGGAAACAATAAAATAATAAAAATATAAAACAATAAAATTCTCACGACGTTTCGACTGCAACACAAGCAATCATCATCAGGTGTGAAAACCACAACAAGAAAATTTGAAAAAAGTGGCGGTTATTTTTAACGTTAGCACCACGGAGAGAGATTTGACAGTTTGTTCAGATGGACGAGTCCATCTGTGTTCGAAACGTCGTGAGAATTTTATTGTTTTATATTTGTATTATTTTATTGTTTCCATTCTACGTGACTTTACCGAAAGAACCAAATATATAAAGATCCAAATGTTTAAACGTACCGTAACACCAAGATATTGCTATCGTTTCAAAGAAGACGAGGAAGAGCAGGCTCATCCCACTTGCCGAGTAATAGTCAAACATCTTGAAGACATACAGCCCGCCCTGTGGATCGGCAGGCAGTTAAAACAAATTCACGTCAATTCAGGGTGGCGACACAGCCCAGCGCTGGCGCGTTTGCGGCTTGCTGCGAGAGGTTCACGCCCTCCGAGCCCGGCGGCCACCCTGGTTAATACTGCAGTGCGTATTAACCGCTAAAGACACGCCTGCCGTCTGCTTCACAGTGGGCGATTAAAACATCCCGTGACATAATGTGTGGGCCATTGTGTTCCGGTGTCACAGTCCTAATGATTCACAGATTGCGCCCCAAATTCCTCAGTTTGAATCGCCGCAGCGAAAACTTGGCAGGACCCTCCTGAAAAAGAGTCACGAGACTCACTGAGGCTTTCCTGGATAATCAAGCACAATACATGAAAGAAATGTGTCAACTTTTTCGAGATAATACAAAATTCAATGCATTGTGTTAACGCTGGTTTATGTCACCCATGAAGAACAATGTACCGCTAAATTTACCAACTAAAAGCCACAATATCGCTTACATATTTATCGAGTGTGACATTTAAATTATACAGAGCAGGGCTTACTTTTAAATGAGATACTGAATGTCGAAACTGGTCCACAGTGTGTTTGTGCTGCTGACATTATGCACTCCTAGAAGGCCGTGTGGCTGATGAGGTGTGTAAAAAATACTTCTTGTATTTTTTTACGTGAAGGGACAGATATGTCAAGGTGTAGAAGTCGAAGTTGCTTGCTTATTTATTTTTGTTATTTGAATAACAGCATTGCGAGGTGACTGGCTTTGGCAACTGAGCATCTAGACGGCACTGCTCAGATTCTAGGCTTGAATTTGGGTTTCAGCCACACATAATTAAACCGGGTTGTAGAAAGTTGATGGTCTTGATCACCAATCAATACGTCAAGTAAAATGGTATTAAAGTAGATTTAGTTTTAGTTATTTTGGGTAAATTCCTCTTACACAAACAATTCCCAAGCAGGGCATGTGAGAGGGTGCATTGCCTCCTTTGCAATGGTTGTCAGAAGAATGTTGTGGCATGCACTTTTTTGTGGGCTGTTCTCTACCACACAGGGTGATGTATTAGTACTCTGAGAAAGTCCTAGATGGAAACGTTGTCTTTTATCATGACACCGATAGCGCAAACGGATTAAAATTGTAACAAAAAAATACAACAAAATATCATTGCACTTAACCTGTGTGATATTGGCGAGTCCGATGATGTAGGAGATAACGCAAATGACGGCGATGAAAATTTCCTTATGCCCACGGAGGTACTGAGGATATTCATCAGACAGCGCTGTGACGAAGCCTTCCACCGTGCAAAACTGCAGGAGAAACGTCATTTCACAGCACTTTCAGTGTCAAAAATGTTAATGTACAGCTCTGTAATGTCTTTCTCGCACCCATGCTGAAGCAAGGGGCGTCCACTCGAGGGAACTCTGTAAAGTCCCTCCAATAGGGTGTGTTGGTCTACTCTTCCGTGCTGTCGACACATTATCACAAATAGTCGTTTTTTTAGTTTATTTCGTTCAACCGGTAAGAACATAAAATACAAGGATAGTCTCATTTGCAGGAGTCGCATGGGTTATACAAATGACAAATTGGTAATTAAACACAAATACATATTCATATTAAATAAGGACACATTTAACAAATGTATGCACGCCCCAGTGGGCAGGTATTGCCTGATAAAAAGCCCGAAAGATTACCTGACTGTCCAGTCCAAGCATGAGAAGCATGGAGAAAAAAAGAATCGACCAGAGAGGCGATATGGGAAGTTGGGTGACAGCCTGTGGATAAGCCAGGAAGGCAAGGCCTGGACCTAATCACGCAAAAGAGAAGCAAATATATTATTCATGAACACAAAGGAAGAGAGTAAAATTTCCACTTGATGTTGTAACAATTGACAATAACAAAGAATGATAGATCGTGGTGAATAGAATAGGAATGTACGGCTATACTCGACATGATGCACGTTGGCTTGGTTATTTTCCCTCTGTTCTGGTTTCCCAGGATCAGCCTCTTTGCCGAGGCACCAATTTTGGAAAATGTGTAAGTCTTCCTGGGACATTAAAAGTTCTCGCTTTTGCGAGTTGCGTAATCATGATAATAATAATAACAACACGCCACTCTAGACAATGCCATTAACAGTAGTTCTCCCATATAATGGTATTGAAATAAATATTTGTCTTCCCAAGATATGTTGTAGTGTTTGCACCTCAAGCAATTGCAGCCCTATCTGATGACAATGACAAAAATTGGCACATTTTCCCCAAAAACGAGATTCAGAAATATTGAACACATTTGTCAAGCAAACAAACAGGAACGCTTGCCAAAACGTGAACGCGACAATCAAATCTGTAAAAGATTGAGAACATCCGTCATAAGAGAAAAATTGTGAAAGAGACACACTTTTTTTGCAGCAAGGCCACTCAGAGGCGGTGGGGGCAAAAGTGTGTGTGTGTGTGTGGGGGGAGAGGTGGATTTGCCCCCAGGCCTCACACAAAAGAGGGCTCCACATGAGGCTTGGTTTTTTTGTAGGTGTCGGTAATGGTCATGAATAAGCGTGCCCCACGTGGCATTCTGCCCGGGGCATCCAGGAATCTTGTGTGCGGCCCCCTGCGTCTATTTACCCGATGCGGCCAGCTCCTTAACAGGCTTCTTTGTGATGTGAGACATGAAACCCACGATGGAGAAGATGACGAATCCAGCGAAGACGCTGGTGACCGAGTTGATGCAGCACACAATGATGGAGTCCCTGCCGATGGAAAACAAAAAAATTGCTGTTTGTCGCAGCCCCATGCCCTTTAGCGTGAAGTCGACTTGATCTCCTGCTCAAATTAACTTTGTTGTGGTGCGTCATCTTCTGTTTGCAGCCCTGAGCTGATGGTGTAAATTCCATATTCATGTGGCGGGGACGAGTGCATCCATTGGATAACCGCTATTGACTTGCCCAGAATGTGGTACTTATTTTATTAACACCACAGGGATAATAGGCTAAGTCAAACTGCAACCAGGATTTGAACTCACAACTTTACGATTGTGAGTCGCTCACTCTACCACTGAGCCACCTGGCCAGTTCCTTTAGCCACTTGTTTAACACTTATTAAACTTTTGATTTAAAGCTTTCGTGACTGCAGGAATTCATATTCTTGGTTCTTTCGGTAAAGTCACATAGAAAGGAAACAATAAAATAAAATAAATATAAAACAATAAAATTCTCACGACGTTTCGACTGCAACACAAGCAATCATCATCAGGTGTGAAAACCACAGCTGTGGTTTTATATTTTTAATATTTGATTGTTTCCCTTCTACGTGACTTTACCGAAAGAACCAAGAATACTTATTAAACTGTCAAGCTTTCATAAATAAATGCAAACAGTGAATGGTAATTTTTCCAATGAGTTAGCTAATCAAGTCTCACAGAAAGGTGTCATTGGATACTTTAATGTAATCCTCGTAATCATAACATTGCCGTTTTCGACGTACTCTTGGAGCCTCCAACGCCTGTTAAGAGTTACACTTCGGTTATATTGGAACCATTATGCATATATCCAATTTTAAAATCCACAGCGGAATAATAAATTAAAAGACACTGCGTGACCAGATGGAATCTAGAGCGGATGATGTCACAGCAGAGCGTGCCCTTTTAAACAACTAAACAAAATCATGAAAGATCTTGTTTCGCCACGTGAAAATGAATCACGATTTCGTTGCGATGGCCTTTGCTCCTTCTAGATTCCTGTGCTCAGCAGCTTGCGGTCTGCTCATCAAATGCTCGCAATGCACAAACAAAGTGAATCGTCCAATGTGAACAATCCTGCCGTTGCTCCACAAAATGGGTCTCAAGGTGTTTGTGCGGAGCGATTATTTCTCGCTTACTGCATCAGGGATAACGAAAATTTGAGCGGGCCACGCACACCTCAGACGAGACAGGGTAAGTAAAAAAAAACCTGTCCAATGTTTGATTCCGCTTAAGCAAAATGCTGCTCGAAATACCACGACCCCCCACCACCAGCTCCGACAAAGTCCTCCCTCAATCGCACCTGAATTTCTCCCACCTGTTCTCCTGCCACCATCAACTACACCGGCACTCCGTAATAAAGGATTTTTTTTTAGGGTTAGATCGCGTAAATATAAATGTGTCGTTAAACCCGCCACCACCCGACACAGACAATATTAGTAAAGGTTGTCACGTAAACGAAACATGCCATTTCCTTACTAGTTCAGCACACCGGTTGTGTGTTGGAGAGTAAACCCACAGTATTCACGATCTAACCCAAATTTCAGGGCTGCACCTCCACATTTAAAATGTTTTTTTTTTATATACACAATGAACCGAGACCTTTGCCTATTACTTTTTCACCATAATTAACCACGACAGCACGGAACACATTCAGTGTAATTCAAATCAGGGTACGGTCGCTCACTTGTAAACGTTGTTGTGGAAGGGGTTGTAGCTGCCAAGGGCGACCAAAGAGCCAAGGCCAAGGCCGTAGGAAAAAAATATCTGCGTCGCAGCATCCAGCCAGACCTTGAAAATAAATCAATTAATAATCTATATGCACAGCTCACACACACACACATGCACCACCACCCGCGTGTTCCTAATTCCAATCAATACTCGACCTTAATTGGAGGGAAATGAAGTGTGATTAGCATGATGTACCGTGCTATGTGTGCGTAATGTGAGCTGTGTTTAGTTACCGCGGAGTCTGTGAGCCTGCGGAAGTCTGGTGTGATGTAAAACAGGATGCCCTCTTTGGCGCCCGGCAGGGTGATTCCACGGAAGAACAGCACAAACAGCATAACGTACGGGAACGTGGCCGAGAAGTACACAACCTGCGCACGGCAACCCAACGTGGATTCGAGATTCTTGTGATGCCACCCACCGCATCGTCTTGGTTACCGAACACAATCTGTCAGAGTAACGCCCGCGGCGCTTTAACCTGTTCGCGAATTACCGCGCTTTGCTTCGATGAAACGGTTTAGTGCGGAGCAATTTTGGTTAAATAATAGTAATACCAAAGGGAATGTTTAGTATTCTGCCAGTCCACTGCTGAACGAGGCCTCCTCTCCACGCCATATGATTCCGAACCCGATTCAAACATCGTTGCCACTGGTGTTAGCCATGGCCAGGAATTGAGCTCAGGTCATTGGGTTCAAAGTGCACCATAATTCCATCTTTACTATAAAATAACAAGTTGATATTAGTGTGTTCTAAGACACGAATTAATAAATGTAACCATTAAACATACATCATAATCAACAAATGCACTGTTTACGATTAACCATTTTGAATATTAAACATGAATTTAACACTCGCAGATTTTTGTTCCACTAAATATGCATACATTTTTGATATTCACAAAACCCAGAGAACTTCTGCGTTGGTCCGGTGTTATATACTAAGCCTTTTAATTGCAGAATGCTTATCTTAAACTCATCCATCAAATACAGCAACATTTGGAGAGCTGAGACTCCGCATACCTTGCCAGTCCACGCAACTCCCTTCCAAATGCAGAAGTAGACCATGACCCAGGAGATGGCGAGAGTGATGGCAAGAGGACCTCTCACTTGACCTGGCTCATCCAACCCACTGGACAACTGGTGCATGTTCCGCCTGCATGCGTAGTAATGCAGGGCACGCTTCGTCTCTGTACAAGTTCAACAATTGGCATTGTGCGGTTGTGGATAAAACGACGAGCCAATAGCATCTCGGATGTATTTATTAATACGACCATTCCTTACGAAAATGGCTCTCAAAGTCGTTGATGTCAGTATTGTCACTGTAACCGAGACGTCAACCCCAAGATTAAAATTGTGGACATCTTTGACAAGTATATACAAATGAGTTAGGACGGGATGGCAGCGGTGGTCATTAAAAAGTTAGTTTTCATTTATTTATGGGGCTCGTTTGCTTGGATCATTATACAAATGTATGATGTTTTAAATCAGTAAGTTACGGACTCGTGAAAATGTCAAAAGTGACCCAATGAAACCCCCCTCTCACATCTTTTAAGAGCCACTTTCTCTCAACGCATGTAATGCTTAGCCTCCAATGTGTTGTCGGGTTGTTCGCCATGGTACGTGACGTTTCACCGCACGTGCTCAAGAAGTCACCAGGACGTGGGGCGAAACGTCGGACATTGTGCCGTACAACACGCGGTACGTTCTACAAAAATACGTCGGAGAGCTGTACAGCACCATCGCGAAAACTACGTAGCACATTTAAGACTTTGTGTCAACTCCAATGGAGCTGCGTGAGTACCAGTATCTCCCTCCTAATCAACTTGACTCAGTTCTAAGTTCATTGGTATCAAAAGATGAAAACCTAAGGTCCCTAACGTTTGCTCAAATTCGCAACATGAACTTGGTCATGCCACTGTTGGCAGAAGGGCCTCCTTAAGACAGAGTTCTGTTGAACACCTCGAGAGGATTTTTGGCCTACTCTTCCATGCTGGACAGATGTCTTAGAAGAAGTGAGAGTGACCACAAACTTTACCTCGCCATACACTATCTTCTGATCGACTAATTGTACAATACACAAATATACTGCTGGGTGGATGGAGACGAATTTAAGAAACTTTGCCATTGTTTAAACTGCCACACCCGGAGATTAAAGCTTTGGATTACAAGTCCATTGCACTAACCATTACAGCTTAGAAGCATCCCCCTAACTCTAAAGTACTCAAAGTCAAGTAAATTCCTGCTGAAATGAGCCTCTACCGTTTACAACCCTGAGCCAGTGGTGGGAATTTCAAATTCCTAAAGCAGAGGGCGAGTCTATCCATGGGACAACTACTGGTGACGTCACCACAAAGTAGTAATCATTTTTCTTAGCTCTTTTGGTAAAGTCACGTTGAAGGGAAACAATGAAATAATAAAATATATATAAAACAATAAAAATTATCACGACGTTTCGACCATAACACAAACGGTCGTCATCAGGTGTGTTTCGGTTTGCATTAATTTATTTATTTTTAAAACGGCTTATTTATTTATAAAAACGTCAGCGCCACGCGCAGCGATTTGGCAGTTAATTTAGAAGGACTAGTCCATCTATGTTCTGAAAAGAGGAGGGGGGAGACGAAAAATTAATGTATGCTGTCTGAAAGCCACTGTAAGCATGAACAATCAATTAAGACCTGAAATAGTTAATCAAATCTTTCCAATGATTGCTAAGCCAGAATCCATCTTCTCGGTTGAAATTGTCTCTATGCTTGTATATGTGGATAGCCTATATGTGGATTTATAAATAAACCGTTTACAAATAAATAAATGCAAACCGACACACCTGATGACGACCGTTTGTATTATGGTCGAAACGTCGTGAGAATTTTTATTGTTTTATATCTATTTTATTATTTTATTGTTTCCCTTTAACGTGACTTTACCGAAAGAGCTAAGAATATGAATTACTGCAGTCACGAAAGCTTTAAATCAAAATTTAGTAATCATTTCATTAGAGGAATTATGGTCCGAGTCAACCAATATTAAAATTCGCAACAACAAAAAACATTTTTTTTTTATTACAACCGGCTAGCTCTACCACTCGGCCACATCGAGTAACGACTGTTGCTGGCGTCCTTACAGTCAAGCACTTCCCTGCATGAGCGCGTGCTGCACATTAGGGGTCACATTCACTCCACCGAGGCTGCTGCCACTGTGCAATGATTGTGACGTATCGCCGAGCTACGCTTTTGGTTAGCGATTTAACTCCGCGAGTACTTGTTTAGGTACACTGAAGGAACTCAAACTTCACACGAAGTGACTGCTCTATTATTTACACTTTAGATTGCTTTCCAAATTGGACGGAAAATCTATGTAATGGAAGCTTTTTTTCACAAAGTGGCTTTTTTTTTACCATTTCTAAGTGGCAATAACAGAAAAATACTGTTTAGTGGATGCATCGACAGAAACGCTAATGTCTCTATTGACGAAGCTGTTGGCCACTCACTCCCAGAACTCCACAACGGTGCTTGTGAGGTTGGTGGTGTCAAGGATGCTGTAATTCGAGAAACATTTATCCGTGTTCCACGGGTTATTGCAGTCTTGCCATGGCAGCATCTGAAAACACGCAGCACACAGCAGTCAGGCGCCTTGGAAGATACGCACTAAAAATAGAATCAGAATCATACTATGTATTTATAATGGAGGAATCCGACGAGCTATAAAGCTCTTTTTCACAAAGCACAGCTACTTTTATTTGTGATTATTAAAATAATGCACAATAATGATCATAATAATTGACAGTTCTACTAACTGTGCTGGTGAATGCAGGTTCGTAAAGAGGTGGGGGTGACCAGAATCAGTATCATTGTTCACTCACCCACTGAGGTTAGTTTTGAGTGGTAATCATACCACGTTCACAGCACAATGCGCTTACCACAGTGCCATCACTCCCTAGCGCCCCATTTACATTGTAAACATGTGGAAACCTCTGATAGCAGGCATTAATGCAGCTGGTTTAATTATGAAAATGTCAACAGAATTTGTTTGCATTGCATTTGATGTCTAAGTCGCTATTGCTATTTCAGTTTTGCTGCTGGTTCTATGTTTGTGAGTGCATCGTCCCCCCGGTAGAGAGGCCTTCGAAATTGAAATGTCATGGAACTAAATTTCGATTGAAAGCTTTCGTGACTGCAAGGATTCATCTTCTTTGGTTCTTTCGGTAAAGTCACGTAGAATGAGAATAAAATAATAAATTAATAAAATAAAATAACACAATAAAATTCTCACGACGTTTCGGCCACAACACAAGTGGCCTTCTTCAGGTGAAAGGAACAGACCTGTCGGGACGACAGAGCTTCAATGAACGTTGTTAAGATTCGTAGCGTGCCTCACTTCTCTAAACCAGCTTAAAAAGACGCTATGAATCTTAACAACGTTCATTGAAGCTCTGTCGTCCCGACAGGTCTGTTCCTTTCACCTGAAGAAGGCCACTTGTGTTGTGGCCGAAACGTCGTGATAATTTTATTGTGTTATTTTAATTTATTAATTTATTATTTTATTCTCATTCTACGTGACTTTACCGAAAGAACCAAAGAAGAAGAATTTGTTTGCATTGCATTTGATGTCTAAGTCGCTAATGCTATTTCAGTTTTGCTGTTGGTTCTATGTTTGTGAGGCGACGCTATATCCAGTCAGAAATTTCGCATAGCAGTGCATCGTCCCCCTGCGAAATTGAAATGTCATGGAACTACTTCTGAGATCCCTTCAAGCCACCTCTTATCAAATGCATCCGGCAGCAGAGATATTTGCAGCGTGGCAGCAAAACTGAAACCGATTCGATGTGTCGGTTTTCTCAGTGCAGTCATTGGTAACCAGATCGCGTTATTTATAAATGTGTCGTAACCCTCCACCACCCGACACGGCCAATCAGCAAAAAAGTGTGTACTCAAACTCTAAATGTTGTGGATTCACTCTTCAACACACCGGTGGGCTAAAGTAGTGAATTATTTGTCTTTTGTCAACGTGACACTTTTTTGCTGATTGGCCGTGTCGGGTGGTGGAGGGTTACGACACATTTATAAATAACGCGATCTAACCCAAAAAAAAAACCTTTATTATGAATAATATTGGTCGCGAAAGCCTACGTGTTAAACTGATCGGTAACCAGGTTGAGATCATCGACCCACTGAGCTTGAGGTCCTTGATTCATCACGGGTGGGCGAAGCCCAAGGTCAAACTCGGATCTCAGTGGTGACGGCTAAATGTTCCAAAACTTGGAGCCAACAGGCAACCTCTGGCTTGAACAGGTTAAAGATAATGTAATTATATCCCATTACACGGAACTATGATGCGGACAACATGAATACAAAGCGTGAGAATTTAACTTGTGGCGTATGCTACCGTTATACACAGCCCTTTGTCAACAAAGTACTCTCCACGCCGTGTCGGTCGTCAGGGTCGTTAGACCATTATTCATCACACTGAAAGATGTGGGGGTTGGTGCACAGGCAGGGAAGAAACCAGTTCTGGTTCTAACATCACACGCCACTGATGGTAGCCGTTGTCGCGAGTCTAACTCACGTCTCCGCGTTCACAGGGCAGTACGCTAACCATTGTGCCGACGCTCCGCCCAAATGTCACGTGATTTTACATTGCTACATGTCGATGAGTTTGATGAGTTTGATGATTACACCTGGCATGTGGTATTCTGTGTGCTAGTTTGCTTAGTCTTTTTTTCTTTCTGGCTCCTCGAGATCAATTGGTCAACCCACAGCACCACACGCACTACTCACAGAGGTGAAGGAATTGTACAGGTAGTAGATGGCCCAAGAGATGATGACGATGTAGTAGATGTTGAGGTAGAATGAGATCACGACTGAAGCAAGCCCCACTCCTACATGCCAACACGGGTACAATGACATTTGACCGTGGTGAATATCATAAACGAACAATAAGAGAGGGAATTGAGGAAGGCAGATTGCTGTGGCGTGGTCACGTTCGAAGAACGGTACCGAATAGGAATGTCCAGCAAAAGCAATGACAACGCTAACGGAAGGCAATGGAGGGAGAGGTGGGCGGAAGCAAATAAAAAAAACCGCTGGGCTGATGGAGTGGATGAGGACGCGCTAGAGAAGAGAGGAATGACACGGGAACATCAGCAGCAGATGGGATATGAGACGACGTTGATCGGCAACAGTGGTGGACCCCCGCTGCTACTGACAATCACGGACCTCGTGGCCTCCGGAAAAGGGCGGATGGGAGAAGAGAAAGAAATATCGTAGACGGTAGATTAAACATTCGTCAATAATTTACGTGTAAATATTTAAAAGAAATCGCGACCCTTAACCACCACACCTTGAAAGTCGTCGGCGTACAACATTAGTACAATATTATCATTGATTTGATTCATGGTGCAATAGCCTTTTCAACATAAAATTGTCAAGATAAAGAATTGTGTTTAGCAGACCGCATAAATTATCCTTGCCATGTCACAATTGTTATTTTAAAGCTGTCTTGTGAAAGGATATATGAAATAATATTTTTATGATTTTGATAAAGGGCCGAGGCCACTTAAGTACTGGGCTTTGGAACAGATTGGGCTCACAGCAGAACTCCATCTACTTATCTGCGAAAAAAAATTGCAGATAAAATAATACAATTTTCTGCAGTGAATGCCAGAAAAGGGCTGTTCAATACCTGCGGATAACCCGCAGATAGTAGGAGGAATCCGCTGCGTGATTCCAGTTTTCAACAAAAAATTTCGGATAATAGGAAGCCATTCCGTGGATAATAGGAGTGGTGGATAACAGGGTGGCATATAATAGGGATTTTAATTTAGAATTGAAATATATATATACTTTATTAAGAAAAACCAAGGGGAACATTGCCCCTGACTTCCAGACTAACTTCCAATTGCAGACAGCAGCTGTTCCACCCTTTGCCACACAGGGACAAATACCACCAGGGGGTCCCCTAGGAAGAGAAAAACTATCGAAATATACAGCTGGGAAATTTAGTAATTGAGATGACATGTGATGTCAGGCACGTTGAGATTCTAGGGCCATCGAAGCGTCCAATACGTGCAAATCCTTATTTGTTTCTTGCATCGCACAACCTGCTGTCCGCTGCTCCTCGGTAAAAGGGCAGAGTCGTGACCGCCGGTCACCTTTAAACATGGGAGCCAGCTTCCAGACTCCCAGGCCGCCTACGGAGGTGTACTGCCCTAATGAAGTCTCCAGCAGGAAGAGCGGAATTCCAGCAAACACCAGCGTCAGGAAGTACGGGATCAGAAACGCCCCTGCAATGTGTCAGATGTGAGCGACATTCACATTCGGAAGTTGTCACATGGCAAATTGCATAATTTGAATTCGTACGCCATATTGTAGCGAAAAACAACGCGCAAGTTTCTTAAAATCCACCCCCGCTTCTGTCTGGCCAGCAGTATAAAAACGGGTAAACCAGTTCGTCTATCGGCAGGTCCGCGTGTGGTGAGACAAAGTGTGGGTGCTCCCACCTCTTCCATGATTTCTGGCCAACGTGGAAGAGTAGGCCAAAACACTCTGTCTTCGGCCTCTCTGGGTCGAGAGCTCCCTCCAGTGGAGACCCATCGGCCAGCAGTGGCGTGTGTAAGTAGAGTACACAGTTATAGGAATAGGTTTTACCCTTTTAGCTGGCACAAAAACTGACACCTTTATTCAAGGCATCATGTTTGCAATAACCACAACACAAGCAGTCAAAATGCAAACAAAAAAGACAACTCTGATAATAATATGCACTGTCCTTGAATTTGATTGGTCCACACCCGAGACGGCTTTTCTTAGAGCCTAGTCTCCATTGGTGTTGGACCAGAAGACGCCAAAAAAGGCGTAAAATAGAGTACACAGCTGAAGGGTTGCACCTGAACGTTTTACATTTACGATCATGAGTACCACTTGTTGGGAAATCAACAGTGATCATCCATGGATAGACTGGCTACTGCCATGGAAATGTGGAATCTCCACGATTGCCTTGGGGCTCACCAACAGAAAATATCACCACCCCACTGTTTATTCGAGCAAAGGAGACAATTTTAAACTTGATTCGAAGCTTTCGTGTAGACGTTAGATTGGACGAACAGCTCACATCAGTGATTGTGAAAACAGAAAAACACAATTGGAGAATCATCCGAGAAGCAGGTACAAGATAACTCTCAAAAGTCTTAATTTACATTGGGTTAAAATATATGTCAATCAAAACGTATCGTTGCTACATAATTATACGAAATGTATATTCCCTATTTTGTCTTGTAATAGTTTGGTAAAACATTAATGAAGCAAATAAATCACGGATTAAATGTAAAATTCAATGTTATATCTTTTCCATGGCAATTTTGGGCCAGAAAACCTGAACTTTAACGCGTATATTTTAAAGGCAACATTCATCACCACTTCACAATCTGGTAAGAATCCACTTTCGATTCAATATTTCTTTCTCAGAAACAATTTTGCAGAAAAAACTAAAAAGGAAAACATCAATCACAACCGCAATTGCAAGTTGTGATTTGACAAATGGTGAAATGACTCACGTAATGGGGAAAGAACTCTGGAAGATAAATGCGCACCCAACACTTGTTTTTAATAAATTTATCTACCCAGGAAAGCCTCACTGAGTCTCAAAACTCTATTCCAAGAGGGTTCTGCTACGCTTTGCAGTAATGGGGTAATGATTACTACGTATCTTTCCAAAATAGTAATTTGCAGGTAGAGTATTTGTTTTTGTTGTTTTGGGGCGTATTGGCGGTACACCGGTGCAGCAATAACTCACCGGTCCTCATTAAAGTCTAACATCAAAATTGAAACTGACATTCGTTTTCCGACTGCTTCGACATCACGAGAGCTCATTTTGACGCATCCACGCAAGATTTTCTGACGGTGGGAAAAAAAAAAATGTGCTTTTGTTTAATACTGCAACACCGGTGTACCGTAACAACACGTTCATTTAGAAAATTTGCATCACACTACGTCGGCACACGTGGCCTACTCTTTTTCGAATAACATCACTGGATCCTTCACGGTCGCTGTGATAAGCAGACGGCGCTTGATTTTTTTTTGACGCTTCATGCACCCACAGCATTGACCAGGGCCTGTCCGCCCGGGCACAACCCGTGAACCGTTCCACAGCAATTCAGCAACTCGCTCGATGATCCAGCGACACTTTTGCACGACACGCTCCGACAGTCTCGCGCCGCTCACCTCCGCCGTTCTTTCCGCACAGGTACGGAAAGCGCCACACGTTGCCCAGGCCGATGGCGTAGCCCACGCACGACATGAGGAAGTCGAACCTTCCCTTCCAAGCACCTCGCACCGGGAGCTCTTTCTTCTTGGCCTCGGGAGCATGGCTGGGGTCCTCGGCTCGCTCCAGGTTTGGTAGAATCCTCTCGCGGCTGTTGAGTTGCGACCCAGCTGCAATCTCAAGCGCGGCGTGGCCCTCCGCGTCTGAAACGGTGTTTGGCATCTTGAGATCGCCTCCGTTGAAGGTCAACTTATCTCGCTCGCTAAAGCGGAGTTTGAGGATGGGTGGGACGAAAAATGCAATCACAGCTGCGCTCTCGTCTTAGCGGTGCTTCAACTGATGCCTCGAAGGTTGTTTTCGTGTCTGGTTGCTTTTCTTGGCCTCACCGGTGCCTGCAAGACATAGGCGGTCAGCAAACATCGAAAACAGAGTAGTTATGACTGTTTAAAAAAAAAGTTACTTGAGCAACAACGTGCATATTTATATTACAAAATACATAATTACTTGAGCAATAACATGCAATTATATTGCAAAAAAAAAAAACCCGTCTTCAAAACGCTCATTCCAACGTTTTTCTCAACGTTGGACCTGAGTATGTATTTGACGGTTTTTTAAAAAAAAAAAGTATTTTATTTCTCCTTTCTCTCAAGTTATTTATTTATTTATTTTTTAAAGTCTCATCATCAACCTGTGTGGCGCCCCAACAGCGGCGAGTCCCAAGTTGGAAGCCAGCAGCTCCCCCGCGGTTGGTGCCGAGCCCTCCGTGGCGGCTCACCTCGGCGTTGAGCAGGTTGGAATTCACGGAGTTAAGTGGGGCAGAGTGGGGCAGAGTCGGGGTGAGCTGGGGGGGGGTGGTGGGTGGTGGCACGGAGCGGGCGAGCGAGAAGATTTATTTTTATTTCTCCAAAGTTGTTGCCATTGATTGCAGGAGGGGGGGGGGGGGCCGTCCGTAAATGACGTCACGCGATTTTGGACGATTTTTGCCCCCTCCTCCCTCGTCACACGGCGTCACAAAAAGTCAGACCCCCCCCCCCTTAAATATGACGTCACAAAGCTCTGCTCCCTCCCCTAAAAATATATATAAAACATGCTTCAAATCGCTTTAAACTATTGTCATTGTAGCGCGTATTTAATGTGGCGCTGCACTCCGATGTTGTAGGTGAAAAACGTTCATTAAAACGTCTATTTAATTAAATAGAACGTGTTGTCTATATTTATTTAAAGTTGCGCATTTTGATGTGACGTCACATTTCTCACCCCCCCCCCCCTCCTCGTCACACATCGTCACAAAGTCTGACCCCCCCCCCCCCCCCCAGGGACGTGACGTCATTTATGGACGGCCCCAGGGGACGTTCGCGGCTTGCGGGGCGGCGATGCCGCGCGTGCCGTGCGCGCAATTGAACCTCATGGCGTGACCCCGGGGTCCAGCCATGAGGTTCAATTGTCGTGGGGGGTGGTTGCCGTTTAAAACGATGCGTTTGCTTGTCAACCCGAGGCTCCCTTCGATTAAAAAGCCGCTCTTCCTGGGAGTGAAGTAAGCCGTGGCGATGACGCAAGAACGTGCGTAACTTGTGAACTTACCCTATGTCGGGCCCGGCTCAAGGTCCTCTCGGATAGGGGGTGGGGGGTACCAGTGGATCTGTGTGGGGAAAGGGGGGGGGGGGGTAACAAGGGTGACCGGGGGGGTAACGGGGGGCGGTAACCAAAGAGTAATTGATAGAGACAACATTTCAACTATAAATTCAATTATTATCAAAGCTATGTCGTTATGCATGTGACACCATTTAACTGTTTGAAACATGCAGACATTCAACAAAACATGTCCCGATCGTGTTTGGCAGCTGTTACAAATGAAGCGGATGGGTTCTTTCATTACAATTTGTAGCTGATTTGTGGCATTTTTAAGTTGTCGTATTTGCATATTGATCACATTGCAATAAAAAACAATAATTGAAATGCAATCGTAAGTAATGACAGTTAAAAGACTGGAAATTAATATTCACTGTGTCTGATGTGAACTGCATGATCTAAGAATGACCAATCAAAGACTGCTAAATAGGACAACGCACTGTATATGTGTGCAGCGTCCAAGAAGACCTTTAAGGAGGAGATGGAGTAATGAATCAGCTCGTGTGCAGGCGATATGTGGGGTTTTACATCACCAGACCGTGAGAGATAGTGACGGCTTGGGGCGGCCTTCATCCAGCAGTGGATTGATCATGCCTGATGATGATAGTGTTTAAATGCAAGGACATCTCAAGACGTTGTCCAGAAGTCGTGGGAATAGTTATTCTATAGAGGAGGCGGTCAGTTGCAAGCAGAGGAAACATCAGGTCCTGGAGCCTGCACCTGAGCTGAGCTAGGAAGTTAACAGCACGGATGCCCATGGGGTGGGAGTTCCTGACTGTGAGCGGCAACAGACAACAGCGAGCAACATCCCATTGTGTCCACTGAGAGAAATATAGCCCGAGTTTTTGATATAACGCGTTGGTTGTTGAAACAAAGATGACGTGAAGGAGAATAAGGTGACACGAGGGGGGAGTGGTGGGAGAGTTGCGTGGAGGGGAGTAGAGTGAGATGAGAGGGGAGAGGTAGGAGAGTGCGTGGAGGGGGTAGAGTGAGATGAGAGGGGAGAGGTAGGCAATGGTAAGTCCATTCCTGAGTATAGTGAGTACGAGCATAAAATGAATCCAATATTTAATTGGGAGTCGGTGGAGGGATTGGAATATGGGGGGGGGGGGGGGGTCTTGTTTATGGGTCTTGGAGAGAAATGTGGCAGCAGCGTTGGTAAGTATCTGGAGGAGGTAATGATGAGGGATTTGGAGAGTCTGTTTGAGAGGGCTGTAGTTGGGTGCTTGCCATATCGCAGACCCTGCATGAGAATGAAGGCATGACCCCTGATGCCACTGATATTGCAAAATCCATAAATTAAGTTTGTCATGTTCCATAAAAGCTTTGATGTATTGTTTGTTCAAAGTAGTTTGTAGTAATAAAATACCGCAAATGTGAAATTGTGATGTGAAATGAGCGAATTTAATGAAATATCTATTTTCTGTGCCGAGCTAGTATACTCAATCAGGGTTAACTTGAGATAAAAGTATTTATTTGTAAGTGTTCCTTGTCTACAATACTGTACAATGTAGAAAAGGTAAAATGATACATTTCGTAAGGATAACAATTTGCATGTGTTCAGAGCTTATATGCAACAACTGATAGTAATCTAGTAAGTTGTCAAACCACAGCTGCATGATGGTCTCATTCCATGTGTCTCGACAGCAGATGAGTTTGACCACAATTTACCACCATGGTCAGCGTATCTGCAAATATTATATAACTCAAAATTAAATTGTGGTCACCGAAATTCTGCATGTGTTTTTGTTGTTGTTGTTAAACAATTCTGTATACGCTATATATATAAAAACTCATGTTGTAATTTACCCAATGTGACCTACTGCGTAAACATGTGCATTATCGGCAATCGATCATTAAAACATCATTTTTCAGAGTGCACTGATGAAAAAGTAATCACATGTCAGAATGATTTTAGAAATGCACACACATTGTACATACGCGGTGTGATGTTCATGGCCCAGGGAAGCAAATTAAATTTCCGTTCGTCTCTTATTTTATCAATGTCACAGAATGTCGCAATTCAACTGCAATTTAATCATTTAATTATATAGTTTCATTAAATTTGACGTATATTTCTTATGTACTGTTTTTGCAGTGTTCCAACAGATGGCTAGCGTTTTACAATCAAGGTTTTTTGGGCGAGATCGCGTAAGTATCAATGTCGTTAACCCACCACCACTGGAAACAGCCAATTCGTAAGGGTTGTCACGTAAACTAAACGTGGCAATCAGTGACTACTTCGCCCACCCGTCACGTATATGATAATGAGGTATCATTGGATGCCTCACAGGTTTCATCCAGATGTTGAAATGTCCGCAGTGATTTGATGTTCCGAGGCATCACGTTGCTTGTACATGTGACAGATGGCTGTGCTAAACAAGACCCTTCTGGTTCATGCCAGACGCATATCTCTCTAGCCGACAACTAAATTGCGCTCAATACGCATGATCTTAGAAGCTGAGCTGAGCCTAGTGCTTGTATGGATGACCAGCATACACAATATGGGCACCTGAGGATACACAAGCTAAATTGTTACACTGTACTGCTATGCTCCCTGCCTTCAACGAGTGCTGACCAGCATGATGAAGTCGAGTAGAAAACAAACTTCCAAGGCCTGCACGGAGTGGAGAGGCCCTCATCCAGCAGTGGAATGACAATACATTTGTATATATATGTAATTGAGTCGAACTAAACTGAAGTGTAATGTGAATTTGGAACACACTGCAAAATGGATTTTCTTACCTCCATAAATAATATTCATGACCTTTGACATGGAATTATGTAGCAATCCAATTAAAGCTTCATTAATGACAGAGGAGAGTAATTAAAAAGCAAGGAGACCCAATAAACGTCATTAGGTTACAGAATTGAGATAAGGTGATGAAAATTGCACTGTGGTCTACGTGAAATAGCTTGCGCTCAGAATAAAAGCAGCGTGTGAAAATATGCAGTGTGGGGTGAGTGGGTAGGTGAGTGATTGGATGAGTTGTTGTGACTTGCCGGGTGGTGTGAGTGGGTGAGTGGGTGAGTGGGTAGGTGAGCGGTTGGATGAGTTGTTGTGACCTGCACAGTGGTGTGAGTGGGTGAGTGGGTAGGTGAGCGGTTGGACGAGTTGTTGTGACCTGCAGGGTGGTGTGAGTGGGTGAGTGGGTAGGTGAGTGATTGGATGAGTTGTTGTGACCTGCGGGGTGGTGTGAGTGAGTGGGTCGGTAGGTGAGTGATTGGATGAGTTGTTGTGACTTGCAGGGTGGTGTGAGTGGGTGAGTGGGTAGGTGAGCGGTTGGATGAGTTGTTGTGACCTGCACAGTGGTGTGAGTGGGTGAGTGGGTAGGTGAGCGGTTGGATGAGTTGTTGTGACCTGCAGGGTGGTGTGAGTGGGTGAGTGGGTAGGCGAGCGGTTGGACGAGTTGTTGTGACCTGCAGGATGGTGTGAGTGGGTGAGTGGGTAGGTGAGCGGTTGGATGAGTTGTTGTGACCTGCAGGGTGTTGTGAGTGGGTAGGTGAGCGGTTGGATGAGTTGTTGTGACCTGCAGGGTGGTGTGAGTGGGTAGGTTGAACACAGTGTGGGTGAGACGAGACAGTCGGTCTGATAGACCGAGTCCTCAACATTAATGTTGGAATCGAGTGAAGCTCACAGGAACAGTCATCGTGTTAGTAACGATAGAAGAGCGATACGGAGGTGACTGACCACCGATGAGATAATGTTGCTGGGAACTCGCCACCATCACGTATTAGTCTTCGAAAGTAGTACTGGAATTAATAGTTTCACAAATATTAACACACACTTGTAATATTTGCATAGTGGTTACATTTCATTGACGATCATGTATTATACATACAATAAATCCACAATTACTGAGTTGAATTAAATAATACGTAATTACATAATCTTCACCACAAATAAAAAAAAGCGTTGGAATGCTAAAACGATTCAGTCGAACCGACAAATGAAAACCACATGATGAGAGAATGTTTTAAATAAGTAAATTTATTCGATTACTGTACATTACAGCTTGTAACGTTTTGTGCTATTTGGAATATCAAAACAAGATTTGAGAGATATATATACGTTTATCTGTACACATTTTTTGTCCTGGCATTCTAAATCTTTCCAATGTGCTTCACACGTGTCTCCTCGCATGTCTTATTTTCTATGGCACAAACAAACGAACGCAAAAGACTTTGCCGGCTCGACGAATAATCAGGTCCCGGCCACGTGAGCTCGTATTGCACTGTGGGACTGCCAATTTTCACGGCAGCATACTAACGGAACCCCCCTCGAATTATTTCTCGCCTACACGAGCCAAAAACCGAATGCCCCATTGTTGGCTGGGATACTCAATAAATTAATGGACAATAGAGAAGTCAAAAAAGTTCAATCGTTTCAGAAATACAAGATATATTTTTTTGTATATGGTTTTAAGCATTAGCTTGCATCCATTGTACATATTTAGCAGATTGACTTGATATTGCTAAATAACGTTAATCACTTCTGAAGTTCATCATCGGTACGCATTCGATTGAGTATTTCAATAGTTTGAAATTATTCTTTAACGACAGTGTGATGATCTGAATGCAATGAAGGGATTTAATTGGCGCGGGGAGGACGTAGCCACGTGGTTGAATTTGCGCACACCAATCACCTCTACCTCGTGTCCGTGGCACTCAACAGGACGCAGTCCCCCCCCCCCCCCCCCCATTTAGTCATTTTAGAACAAAGTGTGTAAGCAACTCTAACATATTACCTTCAACCTTTAACAGGCCTTTCACAATGCTGGAACGTTCCAGATTATACTTTGGTTGGGATAACACTGAATGTGGCTTTTCTTCGTCTTTCTATACGCATAACCAACCATAGCACACACTTTGACAAAAATAATAATACATATAATACAAGTGGACAGAACATTTGAATATAAGAAAACATCATTCCAGACATATGCTTGCCATGTGGTACAGAAAAAAAACACATTTAATACAAATATCTACTGGCATCAATTGTGTATGCAAAAATGTGTTTTTTATATTCTTATGTATTGCACACAATATAACAAGCATCACAAAGCTATACATTTTTTGCTAGTGTTTTTTAAAATCTACAAAGTGCTCATATTTATCATGTTTTTGCACATTATTGCAATATTCCAAAAAGTCCACTGCTCCCGTTCGTTGTTGGAAATGCAACGTGCAAACTCAGTGAATTCAAACTCCTTTTATTTGAAATGCTTATGTTTTGTTCGGCTGTTGAACTTTGTACGATAGAATTTCCACGTGTTACCTCTTCCCTTATATTGAGCACCAAATCAGACGGTCAACTTCGGCTTTAGACACTTTTTTTGGAATCCCCCGTCTCTTTATAAATCACTAAATATTACTTTGCAGAAGGGAATTGTGAAGATTATAAATGGTGTTGCCAACACAGCTATGCACGGTGTTGCATATCTTAAGTCAGACTACCAGGCCATTGTACCAAACTATTGCAGTACGTTTCGTGTTTAGTTTGGGCCAGCAATTCTCAAACTCCACAACCCACGATGATGAATTCTCACGTACTTTATTTTACACATTCAGTCGTGTTTTACATGCCCACCGCTCATCCTCATGAATAACAATTATAACACAATTTTGATGAATGGTAAACATTGGAATTTGCAAGATTGGTATTTTGGAAGTGTAAAGGGCTTCGTTTGCTATGGGCAAAAGTCAGTCTGAAGATGTCCTGATTTCATTTACACCAAATGCCACTTGGTAGTTGGAAGTTCCTTATTCCACTTGAAAAAACAATGTGTGAGCCCTGTTTGCTAATTTAAAATAAGTTATCTCTACAGACTTGTCTTTGCTGGTCACAATCGTTGCTGTACTTAGTGGATGTGTGACGTTTACAGCCAACAATTCGTATTTCATGTTGGAATACATTTGCCACGAAAAGGTGCGAGGACTGTTAACGCTCGGCGTGAAATGCATAAAGTGTAGAGAATTAAAATTCCAGAATTGAATTGTCCCGAGTTGAACAATTAGTGTTCTCGTGGACCCAAGAAAATTATGATATACATAAATACGCTATACACATCCCAATTGTGTGGTACTGTATATATAACATGGCTGGAACTGTGTCATTTGCAGTCATGATATAGGAGAAGGCATTCCACTGCCAGTGTCCGATGATATAGGATGTATCCAATAGAGATTAAGTGCACCTGGAGTACTGGCAGGTGTGTTTTATTTTTAGTTCAGATAAAATCCAAACGGACAGGGCGATTTAGAATAGCGTAACATTAAATAACATCATACACCACAATACCGTACGGTATTTGGTAGTTTTGGTAAACAAAAAACCTTACCGTCACGTGACTAGCTGCTATCTAACGCTTAAATACACGTGAAACAATTTAATTAGCTTATTTTATGCTCAAGGCAGAATCACCATTCAAAAAGGTAATTCCTACTCAGCCAGCTGAGTAGTATTTACCTTTAAAATGTAACTGTGTAATCATTTACTCTTTAAAACAGGATACACTTTATTTGGATTGCGATGCATCAGACATGGACAATGTGCTTGGAATATGCTGCAAGGCAATTTCTTTGCAATGCTGATTTTAACCTTCAATCAACTTCGATTAGCATGGTTGGCTACGCACGGTGCGAAAGAAGTTCAACATACATACAGTATCATATACAGTATATAACCCTCTGTATAACCATTTCAAATGTGATCAGTTTCACTCTGACATTAAATGTATGCGTGACACATTGAATCTGTGACAGTGTAATTGCCCGTTAATGTGATTTTTGAAGATGTGATATAATATGTATAAAAGCATGTGGTGAATTTCAGCTCTCTTTCTATGCCTCAAAGACAAAGTTCCCCCGTATAGCCTTAACAGGCTGCTGGGGCAAGTGCTGTTAGCGAGCACTTATTAAAGCCGGCACGGCACACGAGGGGGTGGGTGGCCAGCACCACGCCCGGCCGCCTTCGTCTCCCCAGTGGCGATGTTCACACACCGCACCAGGTACTCATTTGAGGCTGTGTCGACCTAGGGGAGGCCCAGAACCGATTCAGATAATCGTCACCGGCGTTGGCCGGGTTCGCTGCGCAGCGCTCACCCGCTACACTACCGCTCCCCATTTGAATGCCTCACACACATGAACACAGTCCCATGGGGGGCCGCTTGTTGTTAGGTCAGGTACGTGTGTTGCAAAACGATGTCCATGCTGGACACTATCACGCATCGCACAATGCTAAATGCGTATAACCCCATTTGCACGCACGCCACGTTTCAGATCTACAAAGTAAAAAATTAAAACGAGCGGTTTCACCAACGGAGGTGGATTTTCAAAAGGCAGGCGTTTAACCACGCCATGACTAATATGTGCTGCACAATGATCAAGCCAAGGGATGGAACTCGCCCAAGCACACGTCCACTGAGGATATGGAGTGATGAAATCAAGTTCATGTGCTCGGTGGATCGTTTCATCGCAGGATCGCGAGAGGTTTTGCAGTGGCTTTGGGATGCATTCATCCAGCAGCGGGTTGGCCACGGCTGATGATGTTGGTGACAATGGGATTAGTTTAAATTAGCATCCCTTTTCTGCCTCCAAGGCGTTGCTACGTAACTTCAACCGGAAGCATTGGCTTTCGGTTGCCGAACAAATACATTGAAGGTCGCACTCATTACACACCAAGTGCTTGCCACAAATGAACCACAATACCTTGCTGATCTCGTTAAAGAGCATACACCATTACGCAAACCTCAGTCATTCTCGCAGCGGCTTTTGGATAACCATCGAACAAAGACATCAGATGCGCTTCTGCGGCCGTCTGGAACGCTCTTCCTTCCGATATTAGGAAGCCACTGGGGGCTATGTACTTTTAAATCTAGATTTTAAAAATAATTATTTACAACTGCTTTGTGTTCAGTTTGTTGTCCTTTCTCTGCACCTCCAATTAGCACGGTTGGCTATCCATAGTGCGAAAGAAGTTCAACATACCTACAACTATTAATATTTTAAGCCTCGGACACGTAGCTGAGCATTTGTAAATGTTGTGGGTTTACTCGCCAACACACCGGTGTGCTGAACTAGTCACGAATTGGCATGTTTTGTTTACTTGACAAACCTTACTAATTAGCTGTGCCAGGTGGCGGCGGGTTTAACGACACATTTATCTTTACGCAATCTAACCCATGGATAGCCGAGCATGATCTGCTATCGACTGCAATCGTTTTTGTTGCTGTTGTTGTGTCTTCTCCAGAACTCGTACCAGACCTGAATTAATCTTGCTGACTTCACAGCGAAAGCAGTGGACGGAGAGGAAAGAAAACAGTTTAATCAACACTCTGCCTGCAGCGCGGAAAGTAATTGCATGGAAACGTGCACGAAAATGTACGGGGGGGGGGGGGAAGTTTTTTGTTGCTGCGACCATGGTTTGTGCCCTGTGCGAATGTCTTCCGCGTAGACCTCGCGTTGTTCGGCTGTCGACATAACCGCAGCGGTTTTTTGAATGTTGTCTGCCCTCTCGTTGGACTTGTTATTCATTTGTGACCGAAGCACAGCAAAGGGGAATACATTCGTGTCATGGGTGTTGGGTAATGTGGCGGGGCTTCCGTAAATGTGCGATGGTGTTTCAAATATATGCATTTGAACAACAACAAAAACCCAATGCAATAACGACACAGCACTGTACTAGTGAAGTTTACAAAGGTCCTCGAAAGAATAATTAGACCAGAATAAAGAAACGTCAAATGCAAGTTGTTTAGTAAGATACCATATACTGTATTTCCTTTAGAACACATACCGTAATAGTTCAATAGACATTAATCGCGACCTCTAATCTCATGCTTTAGCATTTTCTGGTCATATCAGGACCATGCAAAAGGTTGCCTTGGCTGAGTGTGAGCCCCTTGCTCTTTGACCTTTGACCTCACACAACGTACGTGTGTGTTCCCGTCGAGTTTGCACTCACGCAAAGATTTCGCGAGACACGACCGCCCTTGATAAAGTTCCCTTCTTCAGCCCTTGGCCTCCGATAAACCTTCTGCACCTTCCTGAGCTATCGCGTTTTTTTTTTTCAATTTCCAGCTGAATAATATTATCAGATCACCTTTTAAATTAGAGTTATTTAAATCGTTTGTAATATAAATATTCCCAGCCACTTTAAATGATTTAAGTATTCGTTCAATTTTTTTGTGAACGTTTAAATTTTTAACAAAACATAACATTTTCATGACGTATAGCTTCCTCGTTGATGAGCCCGAATTGTATCAACACCGAATGCACTTTTAGGTTGCCAATGTCCAGCCGTTAATCAAACCACACACAAACACGCCATCATTGCCACCGCTAACTTCAGCCACAACCAAGTGGAGTTTAACCGAGGCGTCCGGCCTTGGGCAGTGGAACGTTGGGAGTGCGCTTGAGGAAAGAGCAGAGGTGTCGTTCACGGTCAGGCTCTCTCTTGCCCCGCCCACCCTCCTCGCTGGACCCAAATTGACGGCACCTCGACGTCAAAATGTCAGGACGGATGCCGTGAGTGCAGTCGCCACACAAACATCGCTTGGAACTCGAGATCGGTTCCTTCAAATGCACAGCGCATCATGTTGTCTCTCCTCTTGCGGGCGGCTCTCACTGGACATCCTGGCATGGCAGCCGATGATGTAGCTCGGTCGACGGCAGAGGATATCGGAAGCAGGTCCCTATGCTGTGAGTGTACGCACATCGCCTGGCTTGCACCATTTTTTTTTTCCCTGCCCGATCGCCTGACGACCGGCCCAGGGTTCTCGCTGAGGATTATACAGAGACACTTGAGCCTTCCAAGTCCTCTCTTAGCTCTTCGGGAGCTTATCTTGTGGTTTCATTCTGGGTAGAGTGTTGGCTTTCGAGGACTCTGTGAAATACAACACAATAAACGAGTATGTTTCATGACTGGCTGACACAGCATAGCATAAGAAGTGAAAGGGCATCTTTCTCTCATACAAATTCAGTGTACAGTAATTGGCAATAACTACAGCGCAGAAAAAAATATTTTTAAAAAGAACAATGTTCTGGCTTTTAGGATTGTGTTTATTGGCAATGAAACCGCAGCTTATTACATTATGTAACTTTACACCATACTGCATTTTCTGCATCTGATGTAGTACTTTGGAGAGCATAGCACATGCATTTTTACAAACTTTTATATGCCCTCCGCGAAATTACCCTTGCTCTGACACTGTCTCGAACCACGGTAAAACTAAGCCACTTAGGCGAGAACTAATCCATATCAGCAGGAAAGGGTTACCGCACATTCCTGCAAGCAATAAGAGCATTTGCCATTGTGAGAAGCAAATATGAAAAGTAGCTGTTTGTACCCAGGAGCGTGGAGTTGGCTGGCAGGGGGAAGGGTGGCAGCTGGCCTAAGCCGGGATTCTGCAGGGTGGCGGCGGCCGCGGCGGCGGCAGAGTTGAGGGGAGTGGGAGGGAGGGAGGAGGCGGCAACAATGCTGACGATCGGGAAGGGATGCGGGGGGAGCACCCGCACGGCGTCTACGGGAATGTGCGGCTTAGCGCGCGAAGGCGAAGAGCAGCCAGCGGCCCGGGCGAAGCCGCCGCCCCCCTCCTTAGCTAGGACCGACGATCGCTCGCACAACTGCGGGAGGGCGTGGGTCCCCTGCGGCACCTGCTGCTGCTGCTGCTGCGCCGCCTTGTGAGCGTACTGGCGCTGCTGTTGCTGATGATGCTGCTGCTGATGATGCGACGGCGGCGGTGGCGGCAGCCGCTCGGCCCGAGCCGACCGGGGACTGTGCGGCGGCGCCTGGGCCGATTCTGCCGGCGACGCGGCGAAAAGCTGCTGAGGTTGCGCTACGAGCGGGGCCGCGACGGCCGCCGCCGCCGCCGCCGCCACGCACGCGGCCACTGCCGCCTCGGATTGCTGGGAAGCCGAGCGGCCTCGACTCGACTGGGTGACTGACTTTCCGCGCAGCGAGCCGAAGATGGTCCCTAGTCGGAAGGAGGACGAGTTGGACAGGCGGGAGTGCGAGGAGGCCGTTAGGCTGTCCGCGTCTGCCGTTGATGCCTTCCTTGGCGGGGTTGGACTACTCATTCCAGGGCTCTACAGCGAAACAATACAATTGCACTACTCTTAGAGGTGGCCCAGCGCTTATGACCGTGGGCAAAAAAAAAAATAACAGATCAAGATTTCATGACTGACGTTAACCAATTAATGCACCAGTCCTGAGGAAGTCTCCTGTCAAAGCCATGCTAAAATATATGTATTTGATGCACAGACGTGACTAACAATGGTTTAAAAATCGATGCTTCCAGTCAATATGAAGTCACGCTAAAACGTCATCAGAGTTCTTCATATACTACCAGCATGCAAGCATACGTTAGGGGTGAAATGTGTTGTACTTCAGCAGAGCAGTGAAGTCCTTACCTCTGCTTGACCATCAAGTGTGCTTATACTTCCATGCCGTCCCCGCTTTCCTGAAAACGTAGCACAGAATTCGCTCTTAATGGATTTCATTCATAGGATTCTGCTGTGGTGTAACGGTTAGTGCACCTGCAATTCAGAGGCTGCCGGTTTGATACCCCAGTGCAGGAGCTGAAACAATGGACTGGCAAAGTTTCTTAAATCCCCACACCTCTCTCCACCCAGTAGAATAAACGGGTACACCACAGTGAGGCGATCGGCAGGTTGTGTGTGGTGGGTTTAAAGCGTATGTACGTATGTCGCACTTCTTTCGTCGCACCGCACGTAGCCAACCTCCATAATCGGCGGTGCGGGGGGAAAGGGGAACAAGCGAAGTATGGGCACTCCCACCCCTTTTAAAGACATCTCACCGGCGTGGAAGAGTAGGCCAAAAAACATTCCCTCCAGAGAGGCTCTGTAGAGGGAGCACTAGAGAGCCCCTCCAGTGAAGGTACCTTCACATAGCGGTGGCGTGAGCAAAGAATTGCAGGGATGCACCTTTACTTTTTGACATCTTTGATATTCCAATTTACAGTAAAACCTTGGATTGCGAGCATAATTCGTTCTGGAAACGTGTTTGTAATCCAAAGCACAACGTAGATCAGTTGTGATCACGTGACGCTCGGCAGACAAAGCGTATACATACTACTCGTATTGCAAGACCCTCGCTCGTTTATCAAATTAATATTTATTTAAAAAATTTGCCCGTCTTGCAAAACACTCGCAGACCAAGTTACTCGCAATCCAAGGTTTTACTGTACTTGAGTCACCGGCACCTTACCCATGCGTATTAGCACCGTCTTGTGGAATTCATTTTTCCATGCTGCAGCGTTTAATAACTTTCTCTTACTCATTGTATTCTAACTAATTTTACTGATCCGCGTTTAGTTTTCTTAACTCTGCATTTTTAATTCGTTGCACTGGATAAACTGACATTTACTGTTTTTGCCTTTAAAAAAAAAAGATTCCATCTGTGCTTTTTGGCACCATGTAATGAGATGGATGAATCGGGATGGGTTGTGGCATCTCTGCGGCCTCTGATTGGATGATTATTCAGTTCTCTACCATAGTCATGACCGTTTACATTCACGCGAGAGGAACATAGTACGACAATAATTCGTCAAATCAGTTTTGTCTCCTTTTTTGGACAGACGAATGAATGACGTATTATTCTATGAGTGAACCATTTCATTTAAGTGTATACAGCTAAAAAATAAATGGGTCTGCTAATTTTCACTGAACAGCTGGTTCCTCTTCCTTGGCGATGTCTATATTTATTCCATCTGGTCTGGAAATTGTCCCTGATTTCACTGCGAAATGGCAGTGGATACCCCTTCAAGTGCGATGAATGGAACACCCTCCTCACATGTGTATACGATGTGTATTATTTGCTATGCATAGCTGCATAGAAATCCTACAGTAATATTATAATTGTTTCCCATCATGTATTATGGTTCCATCTTTCTATCCAATGGCTACTCTTAAGATATTTAACAATCATCAAGTCCCTTTTCTGCTTTCATGCTCAGATTAAGACAAATTTTTATTGCATTAAAAAAAATCTCAATTATTTCCTTCACTATTTTCTAAGTGGTTTTCAGAGTTCAATGAATGATTGTTTTTAAATTTTCCATTTTTCATTTAGACATCTTTACTTTCTTCATCATACTCTTTGCGGTTTGAGATATCTTGTTTTCTACTTAAACATTTTTAATTTAGTGATCTAATTATTTAAAGTGATGATAACCATTCCATCATTTTAGTTCTATATTAATTTTAATACTTTGCTAAGGACCAGTCTGATCCATCAGCGATATCTTTGACGAGAACTGTCTTTGCTGTAATTAGTTCTGTCTTACGTTAAATCAAGCAAAACGAATTTAATTCAACTTAAAAACATTGTATCCTGACCGTTTCAAGTATCGTATATCAAAATATTAATTGGCAAAAGAGTTATACCGCAATTGTATTTAAACAAGCAGTACCTTGGCATTCAAGGAATTTATACATTCACTTGCTTAGCAGCGTTGGGAATACATCTGCAAATTTAAGACTGAGGCACCTATAAGCCAGAAATGCTCAACTGAACAATCGATGACTACCTTGCTACCAATTAATGCCCTGGGTAGCCCCATTCAGCCAACCATACGGCAATGCTGCATTTGCTTCTCTTGACTGCTGATGCACAGCAGCGCTGCAGGAGTTGTGACACTTGCAATGTCCTTGTCGAACCATCCCTCATCACATATGCGGGGCAATGTGCGTTTTGCTCATGCCTGGGGGTTTTTCATCCCACCCCTCATGGGATTCTCCTCCAGAAAACAGGTAATGCTTTTTGGAATCAATCTGCTGCAATACGCACGAGGAATTGGATTAAATGTGTTTCAGATAACAATCTAGTATTTATTTATTATCATTATTTGGAATGATGTCTCCGCGGTAGAGCAATCGGACGGTTGTAACTTCAAATCTCGGTTTGGGAATTGTCTCAGCCCATCATCCCTCTGAGGTAGATATAATTCGTACGTACCGCTTTGTGGAAAAGTCAACCGTGGTTGAATATACTGCCCCTCCCCCCACCCGCAAGAATGTGGGATTTCCACCACTCCCTCAGGGCTATTAAACAATATGTGAGCTACACCTCAGTGCTCATTTGTGCACAGGGCATCACTTTGATGTGACCAATATGTTGGTACGCAGTGTCACGTGTGGTTAATAAAAAATAAGTAAATAAAACAGGAACAAAGAAAGGTGCATTTCCAATTAAGGAAAACAAAATCTGACGCTCATATTGCAAAAATATATTTATTTTATAGTCTTTCTATTTTATTCAGCTCAAGTGCCGAAGCTGGGTGGATTGTTACATCACAGGATCGTCAGGGTTGGTGATTGCATGTGGAAGCCTTCATCCAGCAGTGGAGTGGCCATGGCTGATGATGACAATCATTTATTTTATGCCATTCTAGGTGATGCCTTGTCAGAAATTGCCATAACATCCTCAATGTCCATCGCATACAGCCACACACAATCCCGCTTCTCCCGTATTGCACCCAATACACCCTGGAGACAACATCAGGCATCTCGCCCACGAGCCACAGGGGTTGATCAGTCACCACGTGACGTGTTTTTTTTTGTAAATGCACAAATGGCTGAGCTTTTTTTTTACACACTTTGAGTCTTGTTTAAAACGATTAATAATATTGCACACATTGTATGAAAACTTACCATCGAATGGAACTTCAACTACTTTCCCCAATTAACATAAAAGCTTTCTTTTAACTTGGGGTTTAATATGAATAATAATTGAATGAATATTGGGCTCGTTATAATATAAGCTTAAATATTATTAATGCAACGTTGCATCAATGTATCGTTCACATGTATTCTTACACTGAAGACACGTGCATTTGTTTGTGTAAGATTTGATTATTTACCACGTGGTTCTCCTGGATAAATAAATTTTCATATAAAAAAATAAATCACACCTGTGCCTATATTAAGTGTGCTTATATGCAACTTCAACTGTACTATTTATGCATCGTGTATGCACATTTTATATTAATGTCACATTCGTTCACACGAAGTGTACTATTTATGCACAGCATTTGCAAAGTACGTACAAACGTCACGCAAGCGAAAACCTTACAGACGAGATGAACAACGATCGAGAAACGACACGAATGATGCAGCAAAAAACATGACGGAAAGAATTAGTTCAGTGATTTCAACCACGACTGGCACTTCATCGAACCACTGGGAAAAAAGTCAGGGGAGTAGAGCGGGCAGCATTTGACTGCTATACATTTCTGCACAATAAGCCACTTCTAGTTGAGCTATCGTTTGTCGGGCCAGGTCGCTTCTGAAAGAAAAAAAAATCTATACAGCTCAGTAGGCCTTACCTGGTAAAATAAAAACTGTTTTTTTTTGTTTGTTTAATTGGTGGGTTTTGCGGGGAAAGAGTGGTGGGAGGGGTAGCTGGCTGGGGAGGGGGGAGACATTACTATCATTGAGGAAAGGAGTTTGGGGGTATGGGCATGATGATGTTATAATTCCTAGGCAAATTGCCATTAGTGTAGGATGTGGGATGTCAGCTTTGCGTGACAGCAGGTGCCGCTACCTCCGTCGGTGAGGTCCCGCAGAGAGCTACTCAGCGCACTCCTCTTGAGGGCCTCTCCGCCCACGATGCAGCTGTCATCCAGGCTGCCTCGGGGCATGCCCCCATTTGTCGCCTCCTTCCTCTTCCCAGCATGCCCCTGTGCTGACGTCTGCCTCATGATGCCCTTCTGCTTCTCCAGCTCGACTAGGCATAGGGATGGATCGGTAAGTCATTTGTGAAAGAGAGACAGAAAGAGGGAGAGAAAGAGAAATAAGAAATCCAACTGCCAAGTTCACGCACAAGGGCATTGAATCGTGCCGCTTTGTGTGGGAGTGCTAATCCAATAAGACGTGTCCCTGTGAGCCGGGTCAGCACACGGGAGCGCGTAAGGAACTGCGCACTCATTAAGTGACTGTTGTGTTTTGCTGTTGCCTGCAGCATTCTATAATTGCAGAGGAAATGATATATAAAAAATACACGTACATTTGACCAAAATTGAGAACTGTTCTGCCTCGTTGCACCCGTTTCATAGCTTATTTTCGAGAATGTATGTGAAGTGATTCATAGAGATGCACATGGTCCACTGCAGTTCCTGAGACTTCGTTCTTAAAAAAATAATCCATCACCTGAAAATGTATCCGGCTTGATGTGGAGAGCAAGTACTGAGGCTAGCAAAATGCATCTCTAAAATTACAGCGCTTTGTGAATATATTTACGAAAGGCATGCAATGTTTTACGATGACAAGGGCATTTATTTGCTTTCAAATAGAACACTGTCAAACATTTTCAGGAAATTAACTTGCACCCATATTACAGACATGTTAGCTGAAATGATGACCGTCGCATATTTTTTTGGGGTTTTTCATAAACTCCTTTATATATAATATTATTTATAAAAGCAACCCTTGGTTTTTATGTGATCCGTACCTTCTATTCTGTACTTTTCCATCTCTTGCACCTCTGAAGTCGACTCTTTCAGATCCTCCACAAACTTTTTGCGGTCTTCAGGATTGGGAGCATTGAAGATGACGAGGATTTCTGTTTCTGAGCCAGGCGTCGATGAGACGAGCCTTATCCCGTGCTGATAGTCTGCAATTACAAATCCAATACGCGAACTTCGGACATCGCCACTTTCAAAGCGAAACAGGGAAGGTGAATAACACGTTGGACATTAAAATACCGTCCTGTAAAAGGGGCAGTTACAAAAAAAATACACAGCCAGTTAAGGAAGAGGGTATAATCTAGCACTTAATGAGGTCAAATTAAAAAAATATATAACTGTGCACTGTATTCGATGGACACGACTGCTCAGTTCGATTAAGGTTTAAGAATGGCCGTGACTTGTGTCTGGAGACTTTTCCAGCTGTGTTGGGGGCATTTGCTCTCTATACTCTCCATGTACTCTTATGTTGTGGCATGTGCTTCGTAATGCCCTGTCGTATGCCTCTCTGCTCCGAAATTCACTCTTAATCCCTGATGTCATCCGAGCCAACTTGTGTAACTCAATTAAAAAAAAACCATGCTAACGCAATTTGCAAAAACATTCGGCCATAAGACCCTTCCTCAACAAACCAACAGTTGAAATGTTATCAGATTGGTATGTATCTCAGTGAAATGAAACGTGACTTTGTCTTGCAAGGTATTCAATTTTGCATTAGAGACCAACATCCTACAAAAGCACGCTCTGATAATATATTGCATTGCCTTTGAAACTGATTGGTCTACACCAGACAGTCTTCTTTCGGGCCTAGTCTCACCAGTGTCAGACCAGAAAACGCCAAAAGGCTTTTTGGCGTTTTTTTGCATGTTCACCACAAGTACGTGTGGTTAATGCAGACTTGATTCCTTGTAAAAGATTTATATTTGGTGTTTGAACATCTTAACAGCGGTTTTATTTCCATAAAGGATAAAACCTATTCTTACTTATCCTACACTCAGCCCCGTTACTCATTGGCAGCATCATCATCATCCTTAGCAGAAGCATCAGCAGCAGTGGCTTCAATATTATTATCATTGTTATCAGCCGAGGCATCATCATTTGAAGCAGCATCATCATGGTCAGGAGGAGCAGTATCAGACAAGTTATCAAAGGGATTATCATTATAATGTATTACCTTTGTCAACATCACCATCATTAGCATACATATTTCCTGTAATTAATCATTTATGTTCGAGCTCGTTTAACACAAGTCTCCCTTGAAAAGATACCTTTAACTCTCAATGGGCTCTCCATCTGGTTATAAAGTAAGTATATCATTGGTAAAATTATTACTATTGTTTTTGAACGCATTCTCTGCTGAGGACTTACACTGATTCTCAAAGAGATGGACCTGCATTCCGTACAGGGGGAACGACTGGCGAAAGCTGTAACTCGTCGAATGTTTCCGCTTGTGGAAGATTTTTGTAACCTGGAGGAATAAGAAAAAATTATGATGCAACAGTAATGCTCGAATATATATAAATACATTTGAAATGTACTGACATATGGATTTTAAATCGATGATTGTGCTACACGCTATTGCATCGATCTATATGTGTAAGAATCGCTTAATTTAAAATGTGCGTATGCTGCATGTAATCGGTTCGAGTGGACCCTGCAATCCACTCAAGAGTCCACATGACATGCAATGGCACAGAGAAAACAAACTTAGGTTGAACTCTGACCAATAATCCTGGCAATATGTTCAACTGAGATAGGCGCGAATGGATACGTACATAAACAAAACACATGTTTGCACAAATGCCCCGTTCAGATGCACAATTCTATTTGCTCCTTGCACACATCTGGCATTAAAAAAAACAAGCTAAATTAGATGGTGAAGTTGTGGAGAAAGCTTAATTATTTTTTTTACATTTAATTCGTCTATATTTTCCCTCAAATTTTACCCTGACTGGGCTATCGAAGTCATGCATATAAGATCAAGTATCCATTTATATAATTCGCGTAAAAGTGCAACCCTTCATGTGACCCACGACAGCGGATATCGCAAAGCTACACCTCTAAAATCCCTTCAAGTGACTCTCTGGTCTAAGCAGAGCGAAATTAAAACTCGATTTATTAGTTTGTGTAGCCATTAGTTGTTGAGCTAAGGTCATCAACTCATCACACTTAAGAACCCGGTTTAATCACAGGCGCGGCTGCCTGGATTCATACTCGCGGACACTTACCACAAGCAGGTCATTGAAGAGGAAAATCTCTCGCTGATGGAGGCCCAGTTTTTGAGGTCGGTTTGGGTCTGGCACCTCGAACAGGCGGCAGTAGCAGACGAGGCGGCGGTGTGGCAGCGAGAGCACCTGAGGCAATCAAAGCAGCAGGGCAACGTCCAAGGGAGCTCTGCAGCAGCACGAAGGCCGCCACCCGTTAAAGGAATGCGCTTTATATTTTATTGTTTCCCTTCTACGTGACTTTAACGAAAGAACCAAGAATATAAACAGAATACGGTTAAACCGCTGGAATACCAAAGCGTTCTCTTTTCAGCAGTGGACTGCTGAAAAAAGAATCCACAGCTGTGAATCGATCTGCAAAAAAAAAACCTCCCATTGTCTGTGGGTCAATCATCTTAATTTCTGAATGTTCTTGTGGATAAGTACAATTACCTAGAAGTGGTGAGGGCAGGTGCTAAATTCCTCTCATTACGTGGAAATTCCCACGGATAAAGAGGAGTCGCGTGGCAAATTCATGCCATTGTACAAGCTCATTCATGGATAACTTAGCAGAAAATATGATTTATTTTCACGGAGTTCCCCCAATAGTACCTCCCACATGAAAATCTGCCAATGTACATTTTACGGTAACTCCACTCATATAAATGCACATCCGATGCTGTGCGTCCCACTGTCTGACACGCTTTGTATGTGGTTGATGGTAGAAAAAACGATTCCTATACCTGGTGGTTAGTTGGCATCAACATATTAAAATTACTATGTTCCTAATAACATTTGTGAAGACAATATATATGTGTGTGTGTGTGTCATGAGGGGATAATTGGGCTGTAATTCTTCAAGTCAGTTTTATCACTCCTTTGAATAGACGAATGATTGAGGCATAATTTCATTATTGAATTATTTTGTGGCTGATGAAGATGCTGGTTCCTGTGAGTGATGTGTAACCTCACTAATGGAGTGATTACATTGAGCTCTGCAATCAAATTTCACGGTGGAAAGATGTCTCGTGTGTCAGGACTCACTGTGGTTACACAGTGAATGAGGTCACGCAGGGCCATAAGGGGAGGGGAAGGGAGGGGTGGAAGGGGGATGGAGGGGATGGCAGGTGGGGCAGTTTGCCCCAAGCCTCGGATCTGAGGGTGCCTCAGAGAGGGTTTTAATTAAGGGCCTAGGTGGCCTCATCTGCCATGTTGGCTCAGGCTTCCAAAATTCGTGTAGTGCCCCTCTGAGGTTATAAGCCATGTGTGCCACAGTCAAAATTGGCCCAAATTCGAAAAATTACTCGTAAATTACCCAATTGAGAAAACACATAGAAATCATCACAAGCTACCACGAAACATACCAGGACGCCTCCTGGATAAAGAGTCTTGAGAGTCTCCAGTGATGTGTTGTTTTTTTCTGGGTACGTAAATGTTATTCTAAAAATAAAATAATAGATCTTCGTGCAGAAGCGGTGTCGCACTTCGAGCTGTCCGTACCGGCTTCTTGCCCACGATGGTCTTCTCTACGTTGGCCACCTGCGTAACATGGTCATCGTTGGTCTTGAGCTCTCCACGCTGGATCCTCTCATAGATGCCCACCAGGATCTCCCGAGGGATGTCCGCCCCATCGTCGACTCCTACAGTGACAGAGTGGCAGCCAGGGCATGTTTAGAAGGAGAGCACACAGTGAGGTCATCAGGTCCAGGGCTGGATTAGCGCAGGGGCTTTAGAGGCTGCAGTCTGGGGCTTTGGACTTTGAGGGCCCTGCCAAAAAAAATGATTTTTAATTTCTAAAGGTTGAATGGAATATTGTAATTATATAAAATTAATGCAGATACCAAAAAACATAATGATGCATTAGCTCAGTTCCCTGAGTGCTGGGTGCTGGAATGGTGTTCTAATGTCTATGTTCGGAGTGTTTCGGTGACTACTGTATGAATAATCCTAGAGGTTATTTGGTAATTAAAGCCATAACATCACTATGTTTATTCTTACCAATTACAATTATTTTTATAATTTTAACTTTATGTAGCTTTACAATCCAAGCATTACATTAAAAAAACAACAACGGAGTGTTCGGCATTGGGCATGGGTGGTGTTAAACAGTCAAGGGAAGGAATTCACTTAACATAGAGAGCCTACCCACCCACAGCAACAAGCCCCCCACTAAACTTCATCTGGTCCTGAGCATGTGGACAAATCCTAGGGTGATACCTGCATAGCAAACATAATTCTACCTAATTTTCCAAACAAAACGATATATAGGCATATTTCATAATTTCAATGTTCGTTTGGCTTGGGCAATACAAATATGCACAAAACTGTTTCCCAGAGATTATAATTTGTTATTGTTGTGATGGACCAAGTCTAAATCCAGGATATGTAGATTAATCACCACATTAATCTTGGCTCGATGAGAAAAAAAATGCAGAAGGCAACCAGCTTCTCACTTATATCCTCCCCGCTAAAATAAACAACAAAAACCCCGACAAATAAATAAGAGTATTAAGAATGGCACGTGAAGTAAACAAACATTTATCTACAACCGTTGAGCGTGTCGTTCGTCTACCCGTGGTTATGTGGCCGATACATATCAATTACGTCATCGCATCAAAACTTCACCAGGGTTAAATTGCGTCCCGGAGAGTGAAGGTCAAGTTGTCACGGTGACATGTTCCGAGCGGTCGTGGGTTTTGCCACTTGTTGCAAACAAGTTCGCGGTTCGAGCCCCTGGCTAATTGCTCGCGGGTGTCCTGGCTAATGCTCGCGGGGGTGCATTGACCGCAAGAAAGCGACGTCTGCCCCACAGTGGATGTTACAGATCCCCTGACGCTTTCCAAAAAAAGAAAAATCCAGTAAAGGGACATGTGTGCTGGCATCACAGTCCAAAATATGACAAATGATAAAAAAAATACCCACTTAATTGGGTAAATCCAGAAAACTAAACTGTTAATTTTACTATGTAAGGCCCACTGAGCTATATAGCTCCTTTTCAGAAGTGGTCTGGCCACAAATGATAGTTCAACGAAGTGGCTTATCACGTGGAAATTTTTCGCAGCCAAATACTACAAAAGCATGTGTCTAAATGTGGAGGGGAAAGCCGGAGGACCCACGGAAAAATCCACGCGAGCACAGAAAGAACATGCAGACTCCAAATATACAGCAGGCGTCAGGTTCGGGATTGAACCCACGACCTCCTGTATGACAGGCGAGGTCGTTAACATCTCGCCACCGTGGCGCCCTTCCAACTTGTGCACTCATGATAACCGACGTTACAGGAGTTGAGCATTTATAAATGTACTTACTTACTATTGGCTGACAGCAGACTACACCCGTCTAGGAAACATACCGCCTTTCGTGAGAGCCTCGATATCAAATGTACGAAATAATTATTATAACCATGGGGTTTCCTTCCATCGACACCGTCATCCATCCCTCCCTTCCGCTCGCTTGCTCATCTGCTCAGCCACACATGCGTCCATGCGACTCGCGAGCTCACCCCTCAGGTTCTTGACGAAGTCGTCGAGTTTCATCTTCCTCTCGGGCTTCACGTTGGGGCTGTACATGTCGGTGTTGAGCAGCACGATGGCGAACGCCAGGATGAAGATGGTGTCCGGGTTCTGGAAGTTCTTCACCACGCCCGGGTTGCACATGCAGTAGCGCTGGCTGCCAGCAGAAAAAAAAAAACCAAGAGTGATCATTTTACATCCATTATTCACGATCTTGGTTATTGCTTGCACACCGGCTTGTCACTCTGGCCAGCTGCTGTGCCAGAAGAATTGTACCAGTGGAGCAGCAGCAAATTAACCTGCCACCCTGTGTGGGTGCGAAAAATGATGCTGTGATGTAGTTTTCAAGAGCAAGGCGTTTCATACGTGTCGCGATGTGTCCAACTTTCGAGAATTAACCTTCGCTTGTGGAAACTACTGTATGTACATGAAAAAAAACATCTCGTACAAAACGATTTTTTTTACCTATGAAAATATTCCTTTTGACTGAAAATATAACTACACATGGCACACCACGTTCTGGTGTACGTCTCGCTATCGCTGTGGCTAGAGAGGCATGTGCCACCTACTCTGGTATACCAACGACCCAGAAAATATTTCCGTGCGATATCGCTGTTGGTGTTTAGTTTGTTGTCCTTCCCCAGCAAATCCGATTAGCATGGTTGGCTGTGTATGGTGCGAAAGAATTTGCGTGGAGGGGGGGATCATCCATGCACAACAGCTATTATAGACTGTAAGTACAGTGCAACAAATTCTCTGCTTTCAACGATTATATTCCCCACCTTCACAAACACGCACTGCCTGGCACGGTGAAGTATGGTCAAATAAGCCCCACGACTCCGCGCGGTGCGGGGAGGACACCGTTCAGCATTGGATTGACAGGGGCTGTACGTGTACACTGTACAACGTAGGCTTTTACACATTCCACCTCTAGCATCGTTGTCAGAGTTATATATTCTCACATTCAATCACATGGAAAGATTACACTGGCTCTCTTCAGGGAATGCTCAGTATTGAACAATATCTAACTGTTGATATTAATATTTTCTGCACACGGCGCGCCCCTGGCACCTATAAAAAAAATATGGCGTGGGACCTTTAAGAACACTCATATGGAGGTGGCATTTTTTGTTCGGAATAACGTCCTATTTTGCTGGAGTCACTGCCTCGACCGAGAGTGGCTTACACGTACAAACGTGTGGTAGCAGTCCAATCAGATCTGACGGCCCACTCCTGACGATATACAATCCCATGAAATTTGGATTTACTGCATGCCTCTGCGTTGCCGAATGTTTTTTTTTCTTGTAGGGGGCTTTTTCGAGGTAATACTGGACCCGATGCTCAAATACAAGAGTGGGATTCTGTGGGATTGAGGTCAGGTCTTCGGAAAGACAAGGTTGGGGATAGATGCCACCGACGCTGAGGGGTGATACTTCTCTTTATTATTATATATATATTTTGAGGCTGTCTATATCTAGGTTGCTGTATTTCTTTCAAATTGCTGTCCATTGCAAACAGGTCCCTGCAGGGTGGGCTGGTAGGAACATTGGAATTTTGCGCAATTTTATGACATTGTTACGTAAAATTGTGCAAATTGAGAGCGTTTTCCCACCTTTTTGCCCTCAAAATCGTTGAGGGTTCTTCGGACAAATTATACACCCAACAGCACGAGATTTCACTTCGTTAAAGTATTGAAAGGGGACGGACGGACGGACACATTCATCTATTGCAGGCTGGTACACACAGTTTACAACTTCGTTCCTACCAGTATAAACTACCGCTGGCCTCATTGTATAGTCTTGACACCGACAACAAAAAAACACTGCCCAGAAATGTGTTTTTTTCCACTTTGTTCAAATGGAAAGTTGTCCCGATGAAATGTCATTCTCGAAGCGGCTGAATGGCTGTGCAACAGCTGTCGAATGAAACAAGAAGTTCACAAATTGGCCAGGAGGGGGTGGTATTGGAACGGGTTGATTTTCAGCGTTGGATAAATTACTCTGTGCCACGGACTTATTTGTATCATCAGTTTCTATTTCACAACCATATGCCTCTCAGAAGCAAAGTAATCTGGTGAGTACTCTCTTGACGGAATGTCTGGGATACTAGATGTTACAGGCTAGAGCTGCGAGTTTGGCCACAAATTGCAGTCCAGCTATGGATAATTTTAATATATCCATGTAGAGCTTTACATGCGACTACTGCCTTCATTATATTCGTCGGTTTTAGTACAGATAACCTGGCTTATTCCTAAAAGCCAAGTACTCATGAATGGAATTGGTTGAACATTCCAATGCAGAACCCTCATGAAAGTCTTGAGACTCAGTGAGCCTTTTTTTGCATTAAGGACATTATTCTTATCATTATTACTACACAAAGTGGGATTTGAGTGAGGACTTCCAATGCATGTATTGTTTAATTTTTTTTAAATCTACATCAAGGACATAAAAGCACAAATTCTGCCACAGTTGAAATACTTTTGTGATATCTGCAGCTCCTAGTGCGTGTATGTGCCTCTGTAATATAGGTTTTTGGGTTAGATCGCATAAATATATAAATGTGACGTTACAAACCCGCCACCACTCGACACAGCCAACTAGTAAGGGTTGTCACGTAAACAGAACGTGGCCAATTCATCACTAGTAGAGCACACCGGTGTGTTGGAGAGCCAAGCCACAACATTTACAATCTGAGTACGACGTTTCGCCAGTAATTACAACTAGCTTCATCAGGCGACAGCCAGATTTGGCCAGATTTGGCCAGATTTGGCTGTCGCCTGATGAAGCTAGTTGTAATTACTGGCGAAAAGTCGGACTCAGATTGTAAATGTCGTGGCTTGGCTCTCCAACACACCGGTGTGCTGTACTAGTGACGAATTGGCCAAGTTCCGTATGTGACTTTACCGAAAAAAACCAATGAGTAATTTTATGCAGTCACGAAAGCTTTAATACTTTACTATGGCCAAGTTCTGTTTACGTGACAACCCTTACTAGTTGGCTGTGTCGGGTGGTGGCGGGTTTTAACGACACATTTAACAATTTACGCGATCTAACCCAAAAAAACTTCTATTATGGATGATATTGGTCACGAAAGCCTGCTAGGTGTTAAACTATGTGCCTCTGCTTGAAACAATCCATCTAAACAAGTGACGTTGAATGATGTTGTCCCTATGCTCACTGAATCACTAAAAACACTCTCTCATGGTTCATTCAAACCGATCGCCTCATTGTCAGTCCTTTATCGCTACTACAAGAGACATTGTTCCTACGATCTTCACGCTTTGGTAGCACCCCCCCTCCCACTCCGCAAAGTAGTCAAGGGCTCGTTTGAGCTGATTGTTTATCTCAGCGACTTTGTGTCCCAACAACCACGGCGCTCTAACCACTTTCCCTTCCTTTCTTCTCTCCCAACGACTGAGTTTGGACTTCCTTGACATCGTCTGTTTTTCGATTTGAAGCTTTCCTGACTTCAGGGATTCATATTCTTGGTTCTTTCGGTGAAGTCACGTAGAAGGTAAATAATACAATTGTATTATAATACAATTGTATTATTTCCCTTCTCCGTGAAAAAAAACCAAGAATATCGTCTATTTTCCCAAATTTATTACAACATTGCTCATATCAAGGATGTTATTTTACCATAGGTGAAGTTTCACTTCTATATCTGGGGGGGGGGGGGGGTTCGCTTTGTCCTTCACATTAGGAATTGTGGGTACATACAATTAATACATTTTTTTAATTTCAATTGTAAACTACTAAAAATAAATTAATAAAGGTGTTTGCCATTTTGGGGGTATTTGGGCTGATTGAATCTGTGTCCAGCCAATGTTATTTTCTCGATCGTCATCATCAGGGCTGGCTGTGGCTGGCCACTTTGCGTTATAGCCCTGTGCTCAGGATCTGTGATAAAAATAGAACACAGTGGTGCAAGTGCCTCTAATGGGCTAAGTGTTGAAAGGTCACCTGCTTAAGGTTCTAAAAATAAGCAGGCAGCAGTTGCTTATATAAAACACTCAGTTGGCAATAAATGTAAAGAAAAGAATGCTTTCATCTAAGCTTCATGACATCCAGCATAAAGTCAAACCAAAGGTGCATGGCTATTCGTGGTGTCACATTACCCCCACCCCACCCTGCCATCCCACCCTCAGCGATTCGATGAATTGTGTCAGTGCCACAATCTTAATTAATAATTGATCTTTGTTGCACAATGGTGGTGAATGTAGCAGCTAATAGAGGTTTGCCGCTATCACTTGGGCGCTTGTTACAAACAACGTACAACTGGCCCTATGACAACGCACTGCTGGATAAAGGTCCTTCTCTGGCATAACAGATATTTAGGTTGTTTTCACCATACTTCACCGTGCTGATCAGTACACGTTTATGAAGGGCGGTTGCCAGACCAGTTCACTGACTACCGATGTTACTTGTGGGCGGGTTTTATGGTGCGGTGCACCGCCGCTCCATCCCATCGCACAAAATCTCACACTGAGGGTTTTATGCTTGTATCATAAGCTTAGAGAATCAATATGAATCAATGCATCAGTATACCCCGAGTGTTTCTCAGTCTTAGAAGTTTATATCGGCCTTTGACCAAATCACCCGTAATGGAAACCGATCTCATTAGGTCTCGGAAGCTAAGCAGGTTTGAGCCCGGCTAGTGCTTCGATGGGTTGCCACCATCATAAAACAGGTGTTATAGGCTGCTGTAGCGCTACGTGGTGGGCACCACAGTAAAATCCATTGTTATACTATACTATGTTCCAATGTCTATGCCTCCCTTCAACCGCGTATTGACTAGTGGAGGATGCTCAAATAGCCTCAAACGGTCTGCAATGGTACAGGGGAGGTCGTCATTCAGCCGTGGATCGGCAGTAGATTGATGAACATATATTTGTTCATCGGCCTCGTGAAGTGCATTATTTTATTCAAACATGGGTGTAGGGGCTGGTGCCCGTAGGGGGCTCATGTGTGAAGAGGCAAATCCTAGCTTCTAAGGCGAGCTCACTATAACGACTGTAAGTCACCTGCCAAAGCAATCCTTCCTCCCCCAGGGAGGAGGCATTTAGCACAAACATCCAGATGGTGGCTTGCCGACCCGGTTATTTATTTATTGTATTCGCATTAGATATTTTAATTGTGGATGCATCGCCGAGATGGAAGCGTCGCCGCCTGCAATGAGGTTTTGCCCGTGCCCGACGATGGTTTGGTCATGGTGCTGTCGCCTACAAACGGGGACTTGTCCCTCCCCCCACTGCAAAGTGGAAGCTCTTCAACCTTTGAACGAGTTTGGTCTTCACGCTCAAAGCATTCGGGTGTAAGGCGTTTGACCGCCGTAACATTGCCAGCCACACAGCGTGTATATTTGGGTTGTATTTATTTAGCGTCCGATTCAGCAACGGTACTACTGGGACCCGCATGCACAGGGGGACTTTACGTGCCGCCAAGTTCACATTACGCAAGACAGTAAGAGGACCCTGAAGGAATTAGCTTCCCATTTTACAAGTTTGGATATGTATCATGCCTAAATGTGACCAAATCTCTTCCTCCGTACTGTTATTACAAAAAATCCACTGTGTTTATAAAGGCTGCCTATCTTTGCTTCATTTAAAAAAAACATCCATTTGCCCAAAACATTGCATTTGTTGTTATTGTTGTTCTTGCGCGTTGAACAATTAAACACGGTTACAAATAACAAAACTAATCGAGGTAGGCTGAGTGATAATGGGATGTCTGGATTTATTTGGGAACTCTCAACAGCCATTTTTTTTTTACAAAAATCATTTGGCTACAATTCATATGTAGCAGCTTCCTCGAAAAGTGAGCATATTGCAGTTTTATTTAATTCCTTAAACAATAATAATTTAAACGAAACGTATATCCGTTGTGCGTGTCGACAACGTATGTTATACCGGACACATTAGAAGCTGGACACGCATGCACATTTTTTGTTTATGTCTCAAGTATCAGAAGCTGGTATGTGTGTTATTCCCTGTGCACCAGTGGTATGTAAAGATATAAGCTTCATATCAGAACTGTGACTTTCTAGGGAGTTCTTATACAAATATAAGCAGAACTCCATTCTGTATCTTGACATGTAAGCACATGTTTTGGCTGATCGGCTTTGCAGACGAATATTTTCGAGCAGAGTTTGTTTAAGCCAGCAAAACTCAAGAGCAGTCAGGCTTGTTAAACAAATGCTGCTGGATTAACAGAAGTTATTGGCAAGATTACTCCAAATAAACTACGGGACCCTATTCCATGCATAAAGCAATACTGGACACAAACCAATTGTAGACATAGTGGGATTGAGGCAACAGTAAAGGGATAGAGCCTTGTTTTTTTTAAAACCAACATCACATTCTGCATTGAGGGATAAGGGAGTGTATACATTTCCTGGATTTTATTCTGACTTCTTTGATTTTCTGTGAAGACGTTTGATGACATTTCAAGAGAAATGTCACATCTCATCGAACATTTGGGTTACGAGCACTGGCGGAGCCAGTGGGGGGGTGGCATGTGCACCCCCAACAATAGTCTAGGTCAATAATTGGCAATAAGTGACGGCAAAGCAGTTATAAGTGACTCACAGAATTGTGCGCAGTTGCGTATAGAGTACACGACTTCCCTGAAGGCATCAACACCTTCAGTAAGCGCGATGCCGATGACACAACGCGGTTCGAATTCGACCCTCGATCGATGGCTGTGCCATCGCCGCACACGTGTCGAATAAAAAGCAAGGGACAAGTCCTTACTTACTCACAACTCCTATCATTTTTAATTGCTGGAGGGGTTGCCCCCCCCCCCGACCTGAAAATCCTGGCTCCGCCATTGGTTACGAGAATTGTCAATAACTCAATGGAGCGTCGAAACAATAATCATCGGTGTGTTAAATGCTTTTACACCACGTGACAATTTTACGACATCGGTTTCTCTTCTGAAAGAAAAACAAAAATAAAATATATCGGTACGTCTTCAAGTTGAAGACTACCGAGGCTCACACAAGGTCATACAGGAGTGCGTGTGGAAAATTTTCGTGCCAGCTATCATAGAGTGCGGTCGTGTTGCTACAGTTCTCTTTGGTGAGTACAATGTCTTTAAAAACAACGGTGCTATGCCTCTCCAAAATAAAATTAATGCTAACCACTTGCACGTTCTGAGATTCAGTGGTGAACGGGACACCCACCCTACAAACTTGCAGACGTTTCGGAATGGAAAAGGGTTCATTTGTTTGGCATGTTTAAGTCCTGGTTGTGGCTAATGTCGTGAGTGAGCACCTGAAGGCCTCTATGAGCCTCTCCACCTTCTGCGCCTCTCCCTGCACGCGGATGTGAGCTTGGAACATTCGCAGCGCCTCATCCAGCTCCATGCCCGAGAAGTCCATCTCATCCACCACGCAGCTACAGAGAGACAAACACAAAGATCCCCCGGTATAGCCTTAACAGACTTTTGGGGGCAATTGCTGTTAGCAAACACCAATGAAGTCCGGCACAGCCACGAGGAGGTCGGTGGCCAGCTACACACACACACACAAAATACACTCTACCAATGTAACTTCCTCTGTAATATTCTGCCATGCCAACCAGTTTAGGCTGGACACTTATGAAAAAATACTTCATAGGTCCTCGCATTCTTCTAGCCTGCATAATATGTCTTTACAAAGATGATAATAATACATTTTATCTAGCGTCATTCACGCAAATTGCACATCAGAACGCTGTAGAATTTCCAACGCATGTAGTTCTCGGATGGAGGCATGTATTAAGGCAGCCAAAACTTCTGCCATTAATTTCCCAAGCTCCGAGATCCTATAATGGGATGTTATACCAATAACTCCAATAATGAGTATTTATACATGTGGGAGGACATTTGGAATACCTGGACAAAATCAATGTAAGCAAAGGGGGTAACACTCAATGTATTGCAGTGCAGGCTGTTTACGCAAGTGTTATTAGCAAGCAGTTATTAAGATAGGCATGGTACATGAGGAGGTGCAGCTGACAGTGCCATGCATGGCTGCCTTTGTCTCCCCAGAGCTGACGTTTACACAGCACACCAGGTACTCATTTAAAGCTGAGTTGATTTAGGTGAGGCGCAGGACCGATTCAGATATTCACCACTGAAGTTGGTCATTAGTGAGATCCGTGGCACAGCGCGCTAACCACTCCGCTCCTGTTCCTCCCAAAGACAAATATCCCCCTTATAGCCTTAATAGGCTGTTGGGGCAAGTGCTGTTAGCGAGCACCTATGAAGGCTGCCATGGCACATAAGGGGGTGGTTAACACCACGCCCAGCCACCTTTGCCTCCCTAGTAGCGAAATGTACACCGCACTAGGTACTCATTTGAGGCTAAGTCGACCTTAGGGAGGCCGAGGACCGACTCAGATAATCTTTGCTGGTGGTGGCCGTGAGCAGGAGTCAAACTGTTACCTCCCACACGCACACAAACACGTCGCCGCACACACGCGCACAAAAACACACGCGCGCGTCCACGCAGCAACACACACTGAGCAGGAGTCAAACTGCTACCTCCCACACGCACACAAACACGTCGCCGCACACACGCGCACAAAAACACACGCGCGCGTCCACGCAGCAACACACACGCTCGCGACGGGCCCTCACTCCAGCACGTCGCGGTTGAAGGCGCGCTGCCGGTTGCCCAGGAACTCTCCGATCATTTGGCGGCTGAGCCCCTTGCGCTGAAGGAGGAAGTGCGCGACTCCAACGGGGGTGTCGGGCACGAAGCCGCGCTCCATCAAGTAGGCGACTCCTTTCTCCGGCTTCCTGCGAGAGGCACGGGCAGCCTGGGTCAGCTCAGGCGCCGCTCGCAACGCAATTGCTTTGTAGTTTTTTTCTGGTTTTGCATAGCATCATGCCCGCACGTCCGAATGGCGAGGTTGGCGTACGCACGGTGCGAAAGAGGCTCGACATGCATGCATTTGTGTACAGCTTTCCAATTTGAGAAATTAAATGGTTGAGATGAGATGTGATGTTTGGTGCTTTGAGTCGCTGAGGCATCTGAGTGACCTATAAATGGAAATCCGTATTCATTAGCATCATCTTCAGCTTCTTCAGATGGTAAACATGCCACATGGAAACACATTTTCTTCCCAGTTTTTTTCCCCTTCAAATTACAATTGTGCTATTCATACTCTTTGGTTCTTCCGGTAAAGTCACGGAGGTATAAAATAAAAGCTATCCCACCTGATGACGGACGCTTGTGTTGCGCCCGAAACGTCGTGATTTATTTTATTTTATGTGCTATTCATGTCGTGATATGCAAGAGAACATCCATTCGGTGTCAAAGAGGACAAAGCAATGCATCATCCAGTGTTACAGGACAGCATACGGAAGTGAATCTCACAAAACTACTTCGGAGATCCATTCAAATTAACAAGTCTCATTTACTGTTATTCAAGTGGCTCTTTTATCCACACCGAGGGAATTACACTCTTACACAGATCCTACACCTGACATGGTTGTCAAACTGACCTTGAAATAAAAATCCCTCAGCTGACATGCAACCAAATTAACATAAAAAAAAACTAATTTAACATAATGCGTTTCTGTCTGCGCAGACAATGGTGATGGGGCGGCATGATAAACTCACTACACTTGAGACACCCCCACCCCCACCCCCCACCCCCGTGTATTCAAGAGTGGCTGCCTTGAGATTGAACCCAGGGACTCCAGCCGTGGCACTTCTGAACTCAGCCTCCCTCTGTGGGAAGAATTTTCGCAGTAATGAAAGCAAATAGCCTTGGTGAGGGTAGGGGGCCAGAGGAATCAGTGAAAGCTGTTGAAGAGATACCTCGAACACTTTGACCTCTCTCTCTCTATTGTAAAAAAAAAAATGAGGTGGTGGCTTCCCTCCCAGACCTCTTATGTCCCACATCCAGGGTGTGTGTACATATATATACTCTCCAACACACCGGTGTGCTGTACTAGTAACGAATTGGCATGTTCTGTTTACGTGGCAAACCTTACTAGTTGGCTTTGTTGGGTGGTGGCGGGTTTAACGACACATTTATATATTTACGCGATCTGACCCAAAAAAAACCTGGATTTTGGATTATACCTGCTGCCTCTCGAACTACTGCTGACCTGTTCTTAATTGAGAGCTGGGAAACATTGTGGCCTCATCATCTTTAAGAATCATCTTTGATTCTAGATTTGAAGTTTTCGTGACTGCAAGGATCCATACTCTTTGGTTCTTTCGGTAAAGTCACGTAGGTGAAAAATAAAAATATTATTATTAAAATAATATTTTTGTTTACGTGACTTTACCGAAAGAACCAAAGAGTAATCATCTTTGAGATTCACACAAACGTCACGGCGCTGAGCTTGTCTCATCGGGGAGGGACACGGAAACCGGGGGTGTTGGCTAAAAAAACGTGATCGCGTAGCGCAGCATACACGGGCACACGAGTTCAGGGGCAAACGCATTCATTTTACAGGACAGAAATGTTTGTTCGTGTATGCTGGTTGGTGCCGTGTTTCCAGAAACAACAGTGTTTTTTTTTGACAGAGGAGACCCGGGTCCTTCTTTGTTAAACATCACCGTGAAACATTTCACCTTCGGCCAATCAGGAGAGGCTCTGCAAGCAACGACCATAATGCTACCTTTGCACGTGCTGCTCGAGCAACAACGTTTCCTGCCAATTTCGGAAGAAACGTGCTTATTTTGGAAATATGTTTTCCTCGTGTATGCCGAGCTGCAAGGGTCAAAGTTTGCCGACTGAATTCCCGTTGTGCCGCAGCTGTCAATGCGCTGCATTGGATGCGCGCCTCCGCTTCGAGCGGGCCGGAAACACAGATGCCGGCACTCGACGGCGCCCCGAATCGTGGGCGGTTATGAACGTGGCAAACAAAAGAAAAACGTCGTTGAGGACCTGAACGGTGGAAATACCCGGGATTCGCTCTCTGTCTCGTGTGCGCAGCGCGAGAGATGCACCCACGCACTCAGTAAACGAAAATATAAAGGAATTGCCGAAACTACTGTAAACGATTTTTATTTTACCAGGTAAGGCCCGCTGGGCTACGTAGCCCCTTGCCACAAATGATAACTCGACCAAGCGACTTATCACGGGGAAATTTACAGAGGCCACATACCCGAAGCACACGTTGACTCTAAATGTGGAGGGGAAAACCGGAGCGCCCGGAGAAAAATCCACGCCGACCACAGGGAGAGAGAGAGAGAGGGAGAGAGAGAGACACGCATGCAAACTCCAAATACACCGCGACTGTGGTGAGGCCTAAACCATCCAACACAGCACCGAGGAGTGCACCATCCACGCACGTTCTGGTTGAAGGACCTTCACATTTAACTATGACACCAATAAAAACGGTTGCCTGCCCCCATGCCTTGACAGAGAGAAAATGATATATAACATCTGTTAACATAAACAATGGATGTTAATGATGCATCCTCCTTACTTGCTCTTGTGATCCAATGATTGTTGTGATTCAGGGTGATGGTTCAAGAATTGATTCTATTTTTTTTTACATTGCGGTGAATATCGCATCCATGATACGCAACGGAATTCATGATAACAAAAAAACATCAATTATTACACGCGTGATAAAGTGCACGTATCATAATTTGCTTCAGAATGGATATTAATCAATGAATCAATGCGTCTACATGCCCCTCATGTTAATGACGGCACATTCGTCGGGAAATATCAACACGAATTACCGTCGAAGATAGGAATCCAATATTGATAATCATGGGACCTCCTTTGCTAGTACCAAAATATGAGAATAGGTGTTGAGATGTTAAAACACCAAACTGAAACCTTTTACAAGGAATCATGTCTGCAATAACCACAATGCTTGTGGTCAAAATGCAAAAAAAACACTGATAATTTATGCATTGTCCTTGAAACTGATTGGTCCACACCAGAGACAGCTTTCTTTTGAGCTTCGTCCCAAACAGGGTTAGACCAGAGGAGAATATTCTCATATTTTGGTACTGGCAAAGGAGGTCCCATGATGTAGATGCTAACCCCGAGCTCTCATTACTCTGACAGTGGCATTGTCTTTGTGCTGTACGCCTTTTGGCGTCCTCCAATGCATATATTTTCAGAGTATGTTTTTTGTTTGCATTCTGACCACAAGTATTGTGGTTAATGCAGACATGATTCCTTGCAAAAGGTTTCAGTGTGGTGTTTTAACATCTCTCAACACCTGTTTTGTTGCCAGAAAAAAGGGGAACATTCTAAAGGCGTGCGCGTTGGTAGGGTGACATTAAGTGGTCCTCTTATTACGATTGACAAGAACATAATTCGTTATTTTTTACTTTGTTTTCAGTGTGCACAGTACAAATCACTGCAGAAGCGATGCATTCGTCACACTTTGTCTAATATTCGCAGTAGTAGTAATATATGTCTCTTAACAGAATGTGCATACTGGATACTGTGAAATATGGCGAAGCTGGTATTCACATTGCGATTTACAATGTTATTTAATTTAGTCAGCATTTTCGAGGAAAAAAAACCCCTGCACTTCTTCCTTGGGGCATCCCAGCAGAGTTTGTTCAACATAATTCACTCCAGGGGCTTGTTTTTCCATGCAATTTTCACGTGCCCAAAATATGCGCGCAGCTTAACTCAAAGGTGGAAAAAGCGACCTCGTCATTACATCACTTCAAGTATGATGATTTCAAAAGCGTCATTTGCCACTGTATTATATTTAGAGCAGCGGATAGGTAAGCATGCATTTCCACACTCACCGTCGTCGTAATTAAGTTTAGCATTTTACATACGCTTAAGTCTGGATTTACCGTAACGTGAAATTGAATAAAGGTCAACCAATTTCTCAGCTAGAGTAAAACACATAAATCTGCCCTGGAGACGTAAAACTAGCTAATTAGGTAATTACATTTTCTCTCAACATTCCCGAATCCTGTCTTTCTCTTTGTCTTCTCAATGTGATCCTAAACTCGCATCTCTCAATGCTTCTTTGTGCATTTTTTCATATGTTGTTCCGTTTTTCTTTGTCAATGTCTCTGAAATCCATGTCATAGCAGGGGATATACGAACTGATAACAAAAACAAAGTTTCTATTCAGGCACATGGGTATGTTTCTCTTGTCATCATCAAGGTCACTTTTCCCAAAGCACTCAAACCCCATCTCATACGCCTATTTAATAATTTTGATCCCGCTCTGCCTTCAAATTCTGGCAATATGGCTCTCCAGAGATATGATATTTCGCTGTTTGTGTTGCTCTTACCAGTGTGAATACAAGATTGCTTTTTTTTTTACATTGAACAGGGGCCCCATCATTTAGATGGAGTGGCTTTTACCTATAACATCTGGCAAACCAATAGTATTTGTTTAACAAGCCTGTGCTGATGAGAGCCAGAAGAATTAAACCATTCCAGAGTCACAGTTGCTTAAACAAATGCTGCTGGGTAATATTGGTCAGGAAAGACAATTGGCCAATGGACTGAGCCATATTTGTATCTTTACGTGGAGAAAAAAATGTTAGTTGTGCTTATACATCTCTCTCTCTTTACAAAGTGTGCTGAAGGGGTGCCTTTCTCACACATTCCATATCACCGGCGAACCGCATGACACTGTTATAAAGGTGAGCTCCGCAAGTGAAGATCGTATCGACCGTGGTGCTATATTACCTCATACTGAAGGTAAGTAAGCCTTGCCTGTGATGATAATACCACTGGAGAGCCATACTGCACCGAGTTAAAAGTGAGCCTTATCGCCGAAGATAATATCACTGGAGAGCCGTATTGCCCCTCGCCTGCTTTTGCACCTACCTTGCC